TGTACAAGTTTAACTTGAAATACCAGATTTTTAAATTAATTATATTATTAACCCAACACAGGTCTGCACTCAGGGAAATATTTTAAAAGTAAAAGGAACTCAGTAAACAAAAACCCTGCCTGCTTGCCAAAAACATCTAGCATTAAAAGTATTAGAGTCTTTGCCTACCCAGAGCTGTTTAACGGGTACAGTATCCTGACTCTGCAAAGGTAGCAAAATCATTTGTTCCTTAGATAGAGACTTGTATGAGTGACTGAGGTTTTAAGCCTATTATTTATGATCATGAAATTGACCTCCCCATGAAGAAGTAGGGATTTTAAAATAAGTTGAGAAGACTCTATGGAGCTTAATTAATTAATCCACAGAATGTATTTATTTATAATCTCTACTAGAGCTAATAAACTATGGGTTAAAAATTTTAGTTGGGTGACCTTGGAGCTTAAATAAATGTTTGAAGGATAAAATTCAGCCCAAACAAAGTTAAAGTTATCAAATCATTAATTGACCAAGTAACTGGTGAACAGAACCAGTTATTCTGGGCATAACAGTGCAGAGCTGCTTTATGGTTCATATCAACAGTAGGTTTATGACCTCAATGTTGTATCAGGATCCCCAAATGCTGTAACTGCTATTAATGGTTCATTTGTTCAACAATTAAAGTCCTACATGATCTAAGTTCTAGCCTAAAAATTAATTTAATGCACAATCAAAAGCAGTAATAATGGTTAGAAGGCAAGACATGGTAGTTCAGTTACTCAGTAGGGGAACGGCTGGCCTTTGAACTGAAAGTCCATGAAATAATTTTTTATCAGTCTGGTGGGGATATTAACCCACCTTCCATTTGCCCTTCATCTGCTGTGTCCACCCCTCCCTACTAAGTCATGCTGACCTTTTGGCTGTAGCTTTGGTGTAAGTGAAGGAGTTCCATCTTGAGCTCCATCTCGGAGAGTGAATCATTAAGTGCCAAAAGGCCCAAAGGTAGCCACACTGACACAGGACTGCAGCAAAGCTCCAGCGTGCCTTTCCCTCCCAGTCTCTTACTGCCAGCACACTCTTCTGCCAGTTGTCTTTCACTATTCCTTTTGTTTAAACCCTTGAAGGTCACCTTTGAAAGGTTAGTCATGGTGCCAAATATAAGTATAAACTTCTCACTGAGATGGAAGAGAGCATTTAAGTTTTAATTCCAGCCTCACCCCTGCACTGCTGGTCAGTTTCTAGAATGAGAAAGCAAGGAGAGATGTTCCAGACTTATGATGGGGCTCCTGGGGCCAGGTCTGATAAAACCATCATTAGTTGAAAATATTAAGTAAAAAATGCATCGAAGGGGGTTCGATCCCCAACACCACACACACACACACACACACACAAATGCACTGAAGGGCTGGGGTGGAGTGCAGTGGCAAGATGCTCACCTAACATGGATAAGGCCTGGGTATGTAGGGCTGCGGCTGGGGCTCTGTGGTAGTATATTTGTCTGGCGTGTGGGAGGCACTGGGTTCAATTCTCAGCACCACATATAAACAAACAAACAAATAAATAAATAAAGGTCTATCAACAACTTAAAAATATTTGTTAAAAAATTTCACGTATTACACCTAACCCAAACATTACAAGCCAGTCATGCTGACCTTTTGGCTGTAGCTTTGGTGTAAGTGAAGGAGTTCCATCTTGAGCTCCGTCTCAGAGAGTTTCCCCTCAGGCCCTGGATAACTCCTGCCCAGCCTTGAGAGAGGTTCAGACTTCATATAGTTAGCTCAGGAAAAGATCCAAATTCAAGACTCAATGTACAGTTTCTACCAAGCATGTATATCTTTCATGTCCATCCTAAAGTTGAAAAATTGTGATGGACCCATTGATATCAGGGACAATCTGTCTTGGTTTTTCATACAGGGACATGATGAAGGCTAGCTAGATAATGAAGTCACTACAGAGAATAATAAAAATATCAATTACATAATCACATGTATTATAAATTATTACATTTTAACAGACTTTACCTTCTAACTTTTTAGCATATCCGGCAGCAAATGTCTCTGGATACTAAATTTTCAGATCCAAAAACCATAAATCCTAAATTGGTGAATATCAAGATCATAGAGCCTAAATTTGGCTCCTGTAGAAGTTTCTAGATATTAGCCCATTTGCCTTATTGTTGAGAAGTTAAATTTTACTCCTTTATTTATTTCCTACTTTCATTTTTTAGAGTTCTGGGAGCTTTTGGGGTATAACTTTATTTCTGAGACCTGAAATATCATCCAGATAGAAAATGTTTTTGTTTTTTCTCATGGTCAGCACTCAAGTATTTTTGTTTTTAAAAATGATTCTTTTCAATTTCGAACATTCTCCTCCTTTTATTTCTTTTCTTATTTCTTCCCATTTTTTATGTTCTTCCTTTACTTGCCTAGATTAAACTCACATATTTCTTAAATTGTTTCTTATATTTTTCCATATCTTTTTTTCTCTGTGTGCTAGTAGATTTTGTCCACAAAATTGGGTCCCTATTTCTATTTTTTTTTTTTGCTATGAATGGATATTACTTAGCCCCTTGATATTTTTAATCCAGCAGTCATACTATTAATCCACAAGAACTCCTCCATTTTCATTGATTTCTTTCTTTCTTTCTTTTTTTTTTGGGGGGGGGGGTTACAGTGCTGATTTATGGTTGCAATAGCCTTTCAATATTTAAGTCATTACAAGCTTTCTTTTCTTCTCTCAGCTATCTGTTTCTATCAGGATATATACCACACTATATTTCTTTTACTGAATGTTGATTTCAAGCACTGACTATGGGTCCTGGGTAAATCAATACAGTATGTGTGCAGTGTATAAATGGGAATTAGTTTGATAGCACACATGCAAAAGTAGACACACACACACACACACACAATCTTAATCCATTTCCTCTATCATAGAATAACACAGCCTGGGTAATGTATCAACAACACAGATTGATTTCTTACCATTCTCCAAAACTGGGAAAACTCCAAACTTTGGGAGCTGGGCTGGCATCTAGGGAGGGCCTTTGTGCTCCATCATCCCACAGTTGAAGGTGGAAGACAAAGAGTCGGAGGACACAAGTCATCCTTCAATGAAGAACCCATTCTCACAGGTGCCTTTGTGTCCCATTCCACTCTTTAAAGCTCTGCCTCTTAATACTGCTACATTGAAAATTGTATTTCCAACACATGCTTTTTTGAGGGACCCTTTCAAACCATAACACAAGCACACACCTGAATGCCTAAAGGGAGGGGTGAATAATTTCATGAATTCTTTCTGTTTCACATAGAGTTGATGTTTTCCTTTTATTCTCCCTTCCATCAAGGTCCAGAGCAACCTGATATTGAGGTCTGTTTTGGTCCCAAGTCTGAACATCTGTCCTGGAATTCTTCCCCCAAAAGTACACTTTGTTTAGAGTGCTTCTCTTGAATTCATGTATAGCTACTCCCTGTTATTCATGGGGGCTAGGTAGAGGTCTCTCCTGCCATTTCCTGAGAAATGCTTATAATAAACTACTCTATCCTTGCCCTTTGTATTTTTCACTTTGAGCTGTTTGTTTGTTTTTTACAGTTTTCCTATGGATCTGTCCTCTCTGTGCCAGAAATGTGGTCTTATGTTGTTTTTAGGCTGAGAATAGCCCCACAATTTTCAAACAAATTATTTACTTGTGATTTTCCAGGTATCTCTAACAAAATTTCTGATCTGTCATTAGAACACTTTGTTGTTTCTAATGGCATTCTGAACCTGTTATTATCAAAATACACACCTTCTTAATAATGAGTGATTGGGTGGAGGAGGGTAGGTGGTATGTGCTCAGTCTTCTGACCAAAACTGCTTCTGCTTCCTCTTGAGCATTGTTTGCCACTAAAAACAGATGCTTTTCTATTTATATAATATGTGCACTTTGGGGGAAAGTTAGATAACACAGAGAAACAAGATGAAAAATAGCACCTTCTAAAGTTTCATGTATCATGATTTTAGTAATATACAGTATGTTTAATTTTGCAAAAAGTTGCTTCAACCATGGAATGTAATATTTGCATTTTATTGGGAAGAATTCCTCTATTACAGATGCTCCTAAATCTTAGAGCTCATGTACAGGCCTGCAGTGCAGTCCATCACAATCAGAAACCTAGTTTCTAAATACACTTCCTGCATAATGAAAATCAGAGCTTTTCTAATATTCAGTGAATGGGAATAAAATATTTAGTTCAGTCCTATGTATTCATAAAGTACTTGTTCTAATATATTTTCACTCTCATAATAAAAAAAGAAACTATTTTTTGCTATGGATTTATAAAGCACTGCAAAATGCAGCCATAAAGTCTGCTTTTAAAATCACATGGTATTAGTCAGTGAGCTGAATCATTAGACAATTAGAGGCTTACTTTTGTTTTAAAATAAGAAGTTTGATGTAGGAAGGTCAAGGCTGGAATGGCTGTGGTAGAATGGATCTACCAATTCTTTTATGGTTTCATTCTGTTCCCTTAGCATGCAGGCTAATAGCTTTTACTTATAGGACAGGATGTCTGGGCATCTCAGTTCCCTGTCTATGTTCCTGGAAGAAGTACTAGTCAACTGAATTCTTCCATTCCAATAAGAAAACACTGTTGGATGCTCTACCAAGTAGAGTTTCATTCTTATCTAATTGGATGTAGCCATCACAGGATGACACTTGTCTTTTTGTCCATGGAACAAAATCATGATATTCATAAGTTATTAAACAAAAGGGGATTTTGGCAGGCAGTTGGCAGTGCCTTTGTTTCTGAGACCAGTTCTGTTATAGTGCATGGCATTTATGAGAATCAATATGGTCATGGGAAAATTGGGTAAGTGCTATTATCAAACCACAAGTAGTCATTATCTACCTCCACACAACTGTACAGAGACATACAAATGCTGGTGGAATGCATAATGGAATGCACTGTCACATTTGGAAAGATAAATGCCTGGATAAAAACGACTTTCTTTATTTCTTTTTTTTTTTTTTTTTTTTTTTTTAGCCAGATGATGCTTGTGACAACCATACCACTCAGTTGGGTGGCACTGAGGAAGAAAAAGAGGTACCAGAAGTTATCCAAACGAGTGGTCCTGTGGTAAGTTATAGAAGGGGAACTGCGGGTAGGGATGAAAGAAGCAGCCATTTCTTCAAGACCATCATGCAAGCCTTGGGAAAATTGTGGTGTGATTAGGACGGTTGGACARCCACAGCTTTCAACATATCTGTCTACGTTTGATCAATTTGTAAGAAAAATATTTAGCAGCAAATAAAGTCAAGTTTAATAGGTAAATCCACAAATAAATCCATTATTTTATGAAAATAGGCATACACTGCGGAACTCTATGATTTGCAAGCATTTCTTTTTTGATAGAGTTAGCGTCCTTACATTTTTTTTTTCTTTCATTTATAAAAATTCTCTTAGGAGTCTTAGTACCACTGAGTTACAAGTCTGCCTGCTGCAACAGGCTCTTCTCTCGTTTCTGGGTGTTCTTTTGTTCCCCGCTGCAGGTGGATATCCGTCCCCTTATGAGGACAGCACTTCACCTGAGGTGTCCAGTCCCCCTCTCTCTTCCCTATTCCCTCACCTTCCCCAGAAAGCCACTTCTCTTTGGGGTTAACCAGAGCAGGGCAAAGTCAGGCAAGCCAAGTACAATGATCAGGCCTCTATTAAAGTACAGTGGGGAAAGGTTGCTGTGTTTATCCCTCACCCACTAATTTTTCTCACCTGTTTCTACTTGTAGGCTAGCCTAAGCTATCTTTTCTCTCCCAGTCTAGAGTTTATGTAATTTATTTTCCCTTTTATTTTTCCATCTTCTTAGCCTCTCTCCTGACTTCTTTCCAGATAGAACAAAGCAAACTGGCCAATCCCAATAGGTCCTTTCTTCTCTGCAGAGATGATGTTGAGCAGTGACTTTTAGTTTGAAAGGGTAGTCACAGATTGAACCTACCCGTGGCTACTCATACCTCTAGTTATTTTCTTTCCTGCTTTAGAGGAGATACTACTGTGTAATCATTTCCAGAATTTTCTGCATTTGCTTTATCCTTGTGCTTGTGTTAATGAGGCAGGAGGTAGATTTGGGGAAAGAATCTACATTATTTCTGAAACCTCTCTCTCTCTCTGACTTATATGAATGATGCTGTGCTTATTCTTTCCTGTCTTTTAGCTACATCTTGTTGCTTCTGTTAGGTTTTAGGAGAGAAGAGAGGGTTGGTCAGCTGGCTAACTACCATTATTTCCCAGATTATAATCCCTCTCATTTACAGAAAAAATATAAAAACTCCTTTGATACTAAAAGTTCTCCACCATCTGCTCTCTGCTGGTATTCCCAACTCTTGGTTCCCTTGAATTAACCTCAGGAACTATCTACTTCTAAAAACAAATAGGCACATACCCTAAGTCTTCCAGTATCAACATTTGTTAGGTCTTTTCTTGCCTTTTAGAATGGGCAACAGATTTCGAATAGGCTCTTCAAAGAAAGCACGTAGATGACCCATAAGTTCACGAAAATGTACTATCATTAATGATCATAGAAACGTAAATAAAGCCATAGTGAGATCTCTCTAGATTCCCTGTGGAATGGCTCAAATGGAAAAGACTGACCTCATTGAGCAGTGCCAAGAATTCAGAGCAACTGGACCTTTTATACGCTGGGAATGTAGGTGACTCATCCACTTTGAAAGATGATTTAGCAGCTTCTTAAAGTGTTAAGGTTGTACTTACCCTTCCACCAGCAGGTGGTACATATCCATACAAAGACTGTTTAAATGTAGTTATATTTGTAATAGCCCCAAACTGAAAACAGCCCAGATGTCCACCTACTGGTAAATGGATAAACAACTATAGTATGTCCACACAGTGGAATACTACTCAGCAGTAAAAAGCAATGAACTGTCTACATTTAACATGGATGGACCTCAAAATAATSATGCCATGTAAAGGAAGCCAGACCAAAAAATATTCAATATATATAAAATTATAGATAGTGGAACTAACGTAGAGTGACAGAAAGCTCAGTGAATTGCCAGCGATATGGGGAAGGTGAAGAGGGGAGGGGAGGAGAGGAGACATCTTGTTCATTATTATTATCTTGACTATAATTTTTGTCAAAAATTATCAGATTGTATGCTGTGTACTCCTTAAATATTGCAGTTTAAATTTTCACTTAATTGTGTGTCAGTTTAAATATTGTGTTTTAAATATTCACTTAATTGTATATTGGCAGTATCTTGATAATAAGTTTATTGAGAAAAACTTTTGAACTTTGAACAAGTGTTCAAAGGAATCCTCATAAAGGACTATGATTTTATTTATAGTCAACAATTATTTTGAAGTAAACTACTTACAATAAATAAATGAGTAGTCTATTCATGTATTAGATGTGGCTGACCCTTGACTCTTCCACAAATGCCCCTAAATCTGCATTTATAAAAGATTTACAATCCAGTCTGCCAGCATCCAAAACCTCATCTACAAATCACTTCTTATATAGTTAAAAGAAGACATTTCCCTTATGTTCAGCCAAGATAAATGAAATATTCAGTGGAGATGTTAGTTTATTGAAAAGGCAAAGTAATCAATCTTGTTTATTTCCAATGTCTTAAGTGAAAATCAAATGGCTACACTTGCTATTGATTCATAATTCACTGCAAAATACAATCACACCATCTGTTAAAAATCATCAGTTGCATCTGTGTTTGCTTCCTATAAAAGGAAATCTAAGGAACCTTGATTTAAACAAGTAGGAGTTTGTTTTAATCACAAAGTAAGAAACCGATGGTGGATAAACCAAAGCTGGTACAGCTGGAGCAGGGTGCAGTGGCAACTTTACCACGGATCTCTGGCCTTTTCCTGTGCACAGGGCCACCTTAGCATGTGGAGTTATCCCTTATTCTTACAAGATGGTTAGGAAACTGTAGAAACTGTGCTGATGTTTCTGTTAGGATCATGTGCCAACCAACTGTTCATTTTTAACACAAAACCTTAGTTCTGTGTAAAACCTGCACAGTAGAATTTCTTTTATTTTCCATTAACAGATTTTGACACTTTTCACAAGACATTTGTTTTTGTTTTCTGTTTTTCTTATTTTAGTTGCCGGAACCTTGTTTCTTTTTATATAAGCTTCTCTAGGATTTTTTGTTTACCTTCTCTTGCAACTGTTTCAATTTCATGAATTTGAAAAATGTTAAGGATGTACTTCCTCTTCCACCTGCAGTTCTGAACTTCCACAAAGATTTGTTCTTCATTTCCTTCATTTCTTATCAACGCTCAGTGGATACTTTCCATCTGAGAATTGTTTTCTTCAGTTTCTAGACATTGTCTTTCATTATGTCTACAATTATTTTTTTCTCCCCATTTTCTAAGTCCCATCCTTTTAGAATACATCGTTGTTGCTTTGCCTGAATTATTAAAATTTATTATTATTGTTATTTCCTAAACTTTCTCTCATGTAAGTCTGTTCCTTCTGTTTTCTAGATTTTTTTCATCTTTATGTTCTAGATTTAATATTTTTTCTTATTGTTATTATTTTTCTTGCCTCACTCTATTTGTAAATATCAGCAAACATTCTTATTTTCTAAGAAAAACATGTTTCTCTCTGATTTACTCATTGTTATAGTAGTATGTTCTATTTCAGAGTAGCCATAGCTACTTACCTTATTTCTGAAGATATCCTTATCTTATTTCTGAAGATAAGAATTAAATTATATTTCAGAGTCAAAATTTTTAAGCTTTTTGATGTTGAGGCATAATTTAGACATAATAAGTGCATATACTTTTGGTACATAATTCAATTAGTGTTATCAAATGTGTTAACCTACCAAAATGTAGAATATTATCATCCCACCATCAAACCAATGGTGGATAAACCAAAGCTGGTACAGCTGGAGCAGGTGCAGTGGCAACTTTCCCATGGACCTCTGGCCTTTTCCTTTGAACAGTGCCACCTTAGCATGTGGAGTTAACCCTTATTCTTACAAGATGGTTAGGAAACTCTAGAAACTGTGCTGATGTTTCTGTTAGGAGCAGTGTTCCTCTTGGTCAGTGTTCCTTCTCTCCCTTAGAGGTAAACCCTGCTGCGATTCCTAACACATAGGTCGGTTTCCCCTTCCACATAGATGGAGTCATAAAATACTTTTTTGAATCTGCTTTTTAAATTAATTATCATAATTTTAAGATGTATATTGTATGTAGTCCTATTATAACTAATAGTAATCCATTGTACCAATATGACACTATTGGCATATTTATTCACCTACTGATGGACATTAGGATTATTTCCAGTTTGGAGCTATTGTAAGCAATGCTGCCATGAACATTAATACAATATAAAGAATGTGTATTTTTATTTCTCCTGGGTATTGATGCCACAAAATTGAGATTTTTGATAAACACAAATACAGCCTCATCATTCTTGGTTCTTAAATTCAGCAAGTAATAATTTTATGGGTAAATCCAAAATAACTAAATTCTATCTTTAAAATAATCTATAGGCAAACATAACAATAGCAAAAAATAGTTTATGCATATCCTTTGTGTTGGTTATTGTCAACTAAAGCTTGGTCTTCATGGGTAAGCTCACAGACAACCCTGTAAAATTTTTTGCAGTATTTTCAGCATTGACTAAGATATAAACATTTAGTGTTTTCCAGTGATTTTCCAAATGTAAATATTCTGTGGAGAGAACATGGTAGCTTTTGCAATATGTAGCAGTAGTGATGTAAACAGTGACGTATCTGCTGGAACATGAGCACCATCTGGTCAGGAAACTGCACACCTCCTATTGAGTGGMAGCGAGTGTCCTCCAGTGGATGGAGAACTTCTGATCAAGACTGTGGGTCCTAGGAGTTTTTCTTCCTGTTAAGTTCCCCAGGCCCTTCCCTAGCCTATCAGCACCCTGTCACAAAGGAGGGAGGTAGATCCACCCAAAGACTCCACCCAAGGAAACACAGTGGAAAGGTGTTCCACAGGGCAGAAGATTTCAGCACATTTGCAGATGGACATAACAGCTCTCTGAATTTCTGAAGTTTTCTGCAGAGCTAGACTTCATTGATTTTTTTTTTTTTGAGTGATTGATGTAGGAAATTATTTGATGTTTCCTGTACTGTTAGGTAGATTTATTTTTCCAAAAGGCAAATATTGTCGGTTGTGAGTTCATCTAAGTGAATACTGGAAAATGCTAAACTTTAAGGTGTGTAGAGTGGGTAGATAGGTTAGTACACACTCTTATTGCAAAACCAATGAGGGAGATGAAGAACTCTTAGTTTTATACTTCTGGGCAAACCTGATTTCTGCTTTTGTTCTCCCCTCCATGTCTTCATTGTGACTTCTGGAGTTCCTTTTCCTTTAGACCTTTGGACCTGCACTGGAAACTCTCCCATCCCAAACACTTAGATCATTTTATTTAGATTGTATTTTTTTGCATTTTCCTAGGATTATATTTAAGGATTAGCTACATTTTTAAGGAAGGGAAGGTCTATGTGGCTTCCGTTTTTGCAAAGGTTTCTTAATAATTTGCCTGTGTTCTCTTCTTTGTTATTTATTTTTCTCTTCTGTCCTGAGAAATTTTCTTTTATGCTACATTTAGGCAGAGGTTTTTATCTTCCCAAACTAATCCCATTTGCATTACATCCAGAAATTTCTGCAAGTTTTTCTGCTACAGAATTCTCTGATGATAATCCAGTGCTGTTAAAAATATGTTTGTGTGTGTGTGTGTGTGTGTGTGTGTGTGTGTGTGTGTGTGTTTCCTGCCATTTGTAGTGATATGGGGAGGACAGGGAGGTAGATGTTTTCCATCTTGGTTCAAATTTCTTGTGCTAGGTCTTGGGTTTTATTTGTTTCTTTAAAGAAAAGTTCTTTATTCATTTTATAAAAGAAATACAGGCCATCTATATGAGAATTGAGAAAATATGGTCAAATGAGTTGAGAAAATTGGTCAAATGAATTGAAGATTGACAGTTATTTTAAAAGAAAACATTGTATGTTTTCATAAGTTTCAAATATATTAAATTTTGTGATGTTTCCTTTGGCAAAGAAAATAATGTTATCTTTTAATTTCAGTATAATCATTGTACATTACAGGAAAAAAATAGTTCTAGCTTTATGAATGACAAAGAAAAAAAGAGTTGGTACCATTGCTACTGAATTCTATTCAGTAAAAAAAAAAAAGTCACAGAATTCGTAAAAATGAACCAAAAATTATTAGAACAATTAAGTTTGCATTTGGGTGCATATAATAAAAAAAGTAGTTGTTTTGCTTCCCATGGAGATACTTAGCATAGGCTGTGGTCCTGTCACGAGCATATACCAGCTGGGATTTTCTTGGTTGGTTGGTTGGTTTGTTTGGTTTTGATCAGGAAAGCTTTAGCTTTCCCAGAAGCACTCTTGGTAAGTTTATTCTTACATTTTATTGGCCACACTAGTCACATGATCTCTCTTAGCTGCAAATGAACCTAGAGATCAAGGTTTTGAATTTATCATCTAGCTCTCTGGAATTAAATCAAGGTAGTATTGAAGCAAATGAAGTTTGTGGCAGATAATAGCACTGTTTGCCGCAGAGATCAGTTTCTGTCAGAGGGACTGACATTCAAATGGCTCATAGCAAGGCTGTACCTGTCAGTGCCCAGGCAGTCATTGATTCATATGTTCCACACATGTCTCAGTATGTAGATACAGTGGAATGCACAACCACATTAGAAAGCATTTGCCTGAATAAGAACAGTACTTTCATTTCTCCATTTAGCCAGATGATGCTTCTCTCAACAGTACTACCCTGCCCAATGGGTCCCGGAATGAAGAAGGGAGTTTTGTAGATCCCAGGATCGGCTCCATGGTAAGTTCTCTCATGCTAATACAATTGCATGTGAAGGCAAAAATCACAAGTCTAGGCAATTAATGAAGAAAGGTAAGAAGAAGTGATTTCTCCAAGACAAATTAAAAAGCAGAACTTGACCTAGGATTTCAAAGAAGCCACAGCTGCTGGCAGAACCCCCCCCCAACTTTGTAACAATCAGGAACGTGACTCAAAACTTAGGAATGATGAAATGAAAGGTGACTGCAAAAACTAATACCACTGTGTCCAGAAACCAAAGGGTGTTCTTTGCAAGCCAAGAGGAACTTGTTAATTTTGGTCCTCCTGACTGAGTTCACATAAAAAAATACCAGAGGCTCAGTGATCTGGCTTACCTTTGCCACCTTAACCTAGAAGTCTCTTTATCCACAGGATAAATTTAAAACCTTCCTCTTGATTTTGAAGACTCTCAGATTTTGCATGCATTTCCAGCTTTAGTTTTCAGGGCTCACTCATGCAGACTCTTGCTCTTTATCCCCGTGACTGAGGGCTCCTGATCTTACTTGACCTTAAGTAACAGAATGTGTACTTTTATTTGTTAGAAATTCTTGTCACTTCCCCTCCAGTTCCCTCTACCAAGAACTTCTGTTCAGTGTCTCAGAGCTTGTGCTCTGACGGGGTAGATGTGATGGATTCCTCAAAAGACAGTGAAAGACCCCATTAGAAAGGCCTCTTCAGTGGTAGCAGCTAGTCAATGACAGATGGAGGTGACACCCTCAAATGTTCCTTTGGGCAATAGTTTGTCAATCATTGCCCATTTTGAAAACAAGATATCTGACATTCACTTACATGACACACTACCAAGATATCCCCATTTAAGAAGAATAAAATAATGTGAATTGTTTTTACCATGAATAACTTATCAGTAACTCTGTAAGCTATGACACAGATAGGCTGAAGGATACCCACAATTTCTGACCTACTAGATGAAAGTCTGTATTTTCTTTTCTCATGCGAGACCTTGCATTGGAATGAAAATAAACTAGAATGTCTCTATTTTAGATATTATCTCAAATTCACCCTACTTATTAATGAAAACAAAGTAAATCATTCACAAACTCTGGTAACTATCAGAAGGAGTTCCCGGTAGTAGATCTAACACAATTATATTGTATCCCTGTGACTGAGGCTTCCTGATCTAGCCCTTTCCCAGGATCCTTTATCTTCCACCTTAGCTGGTAGCACCCATATGTCCACGAATTATCCCTTTGCATCAACTGTAACTTTGCCTTCTCACTTTTTCCTGCCCATCTCTGAGACCTGTGGATTTTATCATGTGAATGGCTGTAGAATATTTCTACCTCCTGCCTTTCTTACAACTACTTCTTTAGTGTGGAAACTACTTTCTGCATTGCTGAAGTAGCCACATAAGGCATCTCCCAGTCCTTAGCTTTGTACCCTTCCAGCCCATCCTTCCCATAGCTGCAAGTCACCAATATAAAGTGCAAGACTTGCTTAAAGGCTACAGTATTTATCCAGCACCCTGCAGCTAACTTGAAAGCTCCTGACACAGTCCTACCCCTGTCTGCTTCTCTAGCTGACTTTAATAAGCTCAGTGTCTTGTTCAAGCCAGCAACAAAGGTCTGCAGGTGGGTGGTTCCATGTATGTACTGAGCAGAACTTGGAGTAGGGTGATTGCATTATTGGGTGCTGAAGAAGAGGCAGATAATCCTTGTGTTTTAAGTTTCTATGGGAGATATGACCACAATTTTATTACTAATAAGACTGGTGCTTCATTTTTTCAACTTTCCATATGATTGATTCATTCATTCATTCATTTGACAATCATTATTGAGAACATATTGTCTACAAAGCAAAACAAAAAAAATTTAAGCAAAAAAAGATAAAAGAAAATGCTTTTCAAAAAAGACACACACACACAMAAAAAACAAACATAGAAAATTTAAAAAGGAAAAAAGAAAGAGAACCTATTGTCTAAAATAGGGTGCTTGGAAGTTTGAGGATGTGAAAGAAAGAAAATGATCTTGCATGGCACTTACAGGTAGAGCTGTCCACAGCAAATGAAACACTCAGGTTTTATTTTTGTTTTTCAGAAAACAAATTTGATACCAGTAATGACATAAATAGAGCACTACTGGGCCTAAAACAATCTCATTGGCATCAGTCTCTTGACTTACTTTGGATTCTTTGTTATTGAAGATATCTTTATTTATAAATGCTATACAAAATGGTTGGTTGCTAGAGTAGCCCTCAGATACTGACTTCACCCCCACTGTACTTGTCCTGAAAGGATCCTAGGCCTTCTTACCATGAGGTAACTACTTTTGTGAGCCACATGGTTCTTGCTTATAAAAGAACTACAGGCACCCCAGTTTGACTCCCAGGTCTCTTGAGACGGTTGGATTTTTAGTAATTGAGTGAAGTAGGATTAAGGATTGGGGGTCTATCCTGCCAGGATGAATTCTGAAGGACACCTTACTGTCTCTTCAAGACTTCAGGAGGCCCCAAGAATTTCCCTATTTGAATTTATGTTATGAAAAGTCGTAAAGTATGTAATCTGACTTTATCTTTCCCAAAACTATGCCTCAACTTGACTAGTACCTTTTTTTTCCCCTCAATCTGTAATTTTCTTTACATATTTGAAATGCCACCTTTATTAAGATAAGTAAAATCCTCACTTTTTTAAGGGTTTATTTCTATGGTTTGTTTTAAAAATCTGTTCACACTCATAAAAATCTACATCTAAGATTTCTTTTTCTTTAGAAATTTTTTTCTTCCAGATGAACTCACCAAAGGCCATGCCTACCCCTTAAAAAAAATTAGAACTTTTCTTCTAATATCTCATCACCAAGTAAAATACTTCTTGGTTTTAAAACTTGCAATTGTTTAACTGGAATGGAGAGTGCATTATATCAAATGATCATCCAGCATCTATTAAAATAAATAGATGTAACAGCAGATTCCACCAACTGCAGATAAGATATATTTTTTAAGTTGCATTTATTTTGAACATGTCCAAACGTTTTCCCATTTTCATTGTTCCCTAAGACATACAGCATAGCATCTGTTTTCATAGCACCTATATTGTACTAGTACAAATATACAAGCAATCTAGAGATGATTTTAAGTATACAGAAAGAGGTATGTAGGTTATTTTATAGAAGGGACTTGAGTTTCCATGATTTTTTTATATCCACAGGGGCTCCTGGAACCAGTCCCCTGTGAATCTTGAGGGATAACCATATAAATGCTAAGCATCTAGCCTCTCTACTTGACCTATTTCAAAACTCAAGGACCCTTTGTGGGCAGGCTGATCTTCCTTCTCCATTTTCACTGAGTGATTTTAAAAGGAGACGGCTGCTGGTTGTGGTGGTGCACACTTATAATCCCAGCAGCTGAGAAAACCGAGGCAGGAGGATTGTAAGTTCAAAGTCAGCCTCAGCAACTTAGCAAGGCCCTAAGCAACTTAGCAAGACCCTGTCTCTAAATAAAATATGAGGGCTGGGGATGTGGCTCAAGCGGTAGCGCGCTCGCCTGGCATGTGTGCGGCCCGGGTTCGATCCTCAGCACCACATACCAACAAAGATGTTGTGTCCGCCGAGAACTAAAAAATAAATATTAAAAATTCTCTCTATCTCTTTCTCTCCTCTCTCACTCTCTCTTTAAAAAATAAATAAATAAATAAATAAATAAATAAATAAATAAATAAATAAAATATGAAAAAGGGGTAGGGATGTGGCACGGTGGCTAAGTGCCCCTAAGTTCAATCCCCAGTGCAAAAATAAATGAATGAATAAATAAATAAATAAATAGCAGAGAGCTCATTTGTTTTTTTTCTGTTTTATTTTTAACTCTTATGATTCTAAGTCCCAGGGTTTCTACTTGGCTTTTAGCCCCTTCCATAATTGGAGCTGACCCTCTTGATTAATTTCTCTCTTATATTTATCTAATACTATGACTCAACTCCTGGAGTACCCTGCTCTCCATGATCCTTGTGCTGAAACACTTCAGCTTTGTCCATGTCTGAAATTTCTTCTTCTGTTTCTGGCCTGAATGTTTTCACCTGTCCTCTGCCTCTGTAAGTCCTTTTCTTTGTCCCTTGGTTCAAGCTCAGGTTCAACCACTTCATCCACAAAAACCTTCTGGGCAGCTCCTCTTCCCTATGAATCATTTTCCAATAATACTTATACTTTATAGAAATAAGTTCTTAACAGTGMTTGTGTGTCTTCTAATAGTGTTCCCTATGTGTTATTCTGTCCTCCTCATTGTAAGTGGTCCAAGAGGAGGCATTATGACTCAAACTTCTGCCCCACAGTAATTTATATTACAAAGAACAGACACTCATCAGTACAGTAGGCTGGCTAGAGGCCGATTACACTGAGTAGATGGACTCTTCTCCACAGATTAAGAAACTAACAATTCAGTGAGTTTAAGCATCCTAAGCCTTCAGCTTTAAATTCTCAATAAATTCTCAAATGCATCAATAAATTAAACGTTTCTCAGTTTTCCAAAGAGTCTTCCCTCCCACCAGGGAGTCATTTTAAGGCTGACAAAGCATTTCTTTGTTGGAAAACTTTAGGAAACCACTGAAAAGTTGTCCCCATCTTTTCAAGGATTTTCATATGTGGATACATTAGTCAGCTTTCTATTATGACAACAAAATCCTGAGATTATCAACTTAGAAGGAGGAAAGGTCTATTTAACTTACAATTTTAGAGGTTTTAGTCCACAGTCTGTCAGTCCCAGTGCTTTGGGGCCTGTGGCAAGGCAGCACATCCTGGCTGGAGTGCACGGAAGAGCAAGGCACTTCCCTCATGGCAGCTGGAAGCAGAGAAGAGAGGAAGAGGAGGGATCAAGGTCCTAATATCCCCTTCATGGGCACACCCCCATTGACCTATAGCCCTCTATTTTGGCTTCACTTCTTAAAGGTTCCACTACCCCTAATTGCTCTAAGTTGGCGACCAAGCCTTTAATACTCGTGACTTTAGGGGGAGATTCCAGATCTAAACTATAACAGTAAATAAGCTTCATTCTATGCTGTGGATTTTAGAACCACTACAAATCTGACAGTGAACTACATAGCTCTTATATAGCCCTTAGACTTTTTTGTCTTTATTTCCGCTCATTACAGTATTTGGGCACCTGTGTTTTAATAATTGGCAATCTATTTATACAATTAAAGTATTTCAGCTCCTTTGAAATGAAAGAGAATATCAGGCTCAGAATTTGAGACTCCCTTGTGTGATTTGTAGAAAACATGATAAAGGGTCTTTTATGAAACAGATGTTCAGTTATTGCAAAATAAATATGAGAATAAAAGAAACAACATCAATCTCTAGGGGACAAATTTTATGTGTGAATATCATACAAAAAATTCTTGACCAAATAGTAGATTTTCATTGTCACACATATTCACAGATAACTCTCACATGAAAATTTATAGAATTTGTTAGAATTTCTGTGTAAATTTTTCACATATCCAACTAGACCTGAACAAAGAGATACTCAACTTCTGATGACATTGCAGCCAAGTTCAATGCTTTGACAGGATTTCAGTGAAGAAAGTACTAAGTTGATTAAGAAGAGAAACAAAATTAGAAAAGATACTTAATTTTTGTTATTGTCTGTGTGTTTTGCAGTGAGAGAATTAACCTGTTAATATTTGTAGTATAATTAATAAAGACAAATGCATCAAGATTAGCAAATCAAATAATTTCCATGACATCAAGTTTTATAATTTGTATATCTTAGCAAAGGTTAAATAGCAAATATTGAAGAGCTAAGAAAGCAGGCTTATATTGACCTTGACAACTGTTCCATTTTGAGAAACCCGAATGGAACACATCTAAACTGAATGCAGTGACAATGAAAATTAATGCAGACCAGCTATGAAATCAAAAACTTTGTGTGTGTGAAAAGAACTCTTACGTGAGTCAGAGTGAAATGATGGGTAGCCTATATTTGTGGTATAATGTTCTGTGCTCATTTTCCCTTGCTTAGCAGTCCATACTGGAGGCTATTCCAGATGTACCAGTTCATTCCAATGGGTCTGCAGATGCGGGGCAGTCAGCTCAGAGTGCACTGAGTGGTGAGTGACATGATCACCTATTGAACTTAAGCTGTGTCTTCTCACTTGTGTTTGGGAACTTGACACAGTAGTGAGTTTTCTTTTTTAACTGTTTCTTTTAATACATTTATTTTATACCAATATATAAATACATAAAACAGTATACCTATTAGTGGGTTATCATGTGATGTTTCAATATATGCATACATGGGGTAATGGTTCCATCAGGTTAAATAGACTGTCACCCAAACATCATTTCTTTGTGGTAAAAACTTTCAAACTCCTTTCTTAAATTTTTTTTTTTTTGGAATTTACAATACATTATCATCTTTTCTAGAAACCTTACCATATGATAGCACACCAGAACTCCCTGCTCATGACTGTAACTTAGTACCCATCGACCAACTTTCCCCATCCCTCTTCCTCCCAGTAGTGAATTTCTAAAAGCAAAAAAGTATGTTTTTCTCCCCATTATTATTCTATTGCTTCCTGTATTCTCTCTTTCCTCTCACCTTCCAACACTTGATTCTGTCACAGAAGACAAAACTAATAGCCATGCTGGAAGCAGAGTTTCTTCCTCCTCTATCACCAGCCAATTATCACCAATTTAGAAACTCCTCACTTAAGCAGTGTCTTTGACTTGAGGCCTCTGCCCAGCAGTTGCAGGAAAACCAGGAAGCAGGCCACTTCCAAGACTCCCTAATTACTGCTCAGGAACATGTTTTTTTTAGCAGCTAGCAACATACAGGATTACAGCAGTAGCTTTTATCTGAGTCTTTTCTTTCTGAGAGGTGGGCTCCCTACATGGGCTCAGAATGGAATCTCAAATCCACCTGATAGATGGAAACAGGCTCTTGAGGGCCATGTACTTTTGTGATTGCTCAAAGTTTTCCAGAAGTATGTGCAGTCATCTTGTAAAAACAGCATATACTTTCAGCATTCCCAACACAATTCAAAGAAATAGAGATGATGAAATGTTCCAAAACTGACTCGATGATGGTTGTCCAACACTAATGTGCTAAAAACCATTGATTTGTCCACTTTAAGTGATGTATTTCATGGCACATGAATAGTATTTCAATAAAGCTGTCACAAAACAAATCAAGGAGAAGGTATTTTCCAGAAATTATTTATTTGTTATTATTTATTTGTATTTAATGCCATATGGTAACCTAGCTCAAATTATGCCTCTAAAAGAAACATCAGTATGCAGTGGTCCTCTGGTTTTGGAGAATTGGCCAGTTTAATTGCTACTCTCCAAAGACTTTGTCCATTTATCCTTAAGAGGTTAGAGTATTATTTAATATTTTTTTCTACCTCTATTTTGAGGGCAAGCCTCCATATGACAAATGAAAACTCACAACTTTGCCATTTTTGAAATTCATGGCACATCCATATACTGGGTTTCCAAATTTTAATGTAAAATTTTAATGTAAAATTAATCAGGTCTTCCATTAATTCTGCCTTTTGTTCCTTTTTGTTCCAGTTTGTCAAATTGTCAGCATCTATAGAAGAGGGCAAAAGAGAATTGAGTTCTTTTTGTAATCAAATAAATCATTACTTGGCACATAAACAGTTTTGCCAGGTAGTGAAACAAGATGACAAGCCAAAATCAATCAATAATCAGAGGATGGGATTGCTCACATAATTTATGAATTCCTTTGTTTTGGGTCAAGGAATCTTCTGTCCTAATTTTCAGACTARCTGGAGAAAAGCAATTCTGTAGGGCATTATATATATTACTCAGCAGACTTCTTAATGTGTATCATACAAAGTCAGGAAACCAGCATCAAATAAAGAAATTCAGATTAGTTCATCTGAACACACCTTTCAGTGAAGTCCAAATTCAATTTGAACACGTCTTAAGAGGCAAATGTTTCACAGTTTAAAAAAAAATAAGAAGAGGAAGAAGTAAAAGGAGAGAGGAATTCCACAATCTCTTCTTTCTTCCTCTGCTTCAAGCTTCTAACTCTCCAGTAAGTGACAGTGGGTCTGGATGGGCTTAATTTCAATATCACGGGAACATATAGAAATACCCTGCTTGGGGCTAATCCTAAAAAACTTTCATGAGACATAAAAGTCTAAAATTTAAAAAATCAGATAATATTGAAAGTTCATTTGGATAACAATAGAAATCTGTTCCTGTGGAAGCTGATGACACCACAGCATTACTTAACTGAACTCCTCTGGGGGAACCCAGTGCTTTTCCCTGATGTGCTGTGGGCAGTTTTGTGAATATTTTGTGCTTATTTTCCAGTACATGGTATTGCTTGATTAAGTGGCATATTAAATATTCTGTATCTTTTGTTTCTCTAGATGATTATCTGGAAAAGGACATTCCAGCAGAGACTGAAGAGGTGTCCTTTGAAGTATCTTATTCAGAAATGGTTACAGAGGCTCCAAAAAGAAATAGATCTAAGAAGTCAGAGATTAAGAAAGAAGACTATGCTTTAACTGTAAGTCAAACCTTTCATGGTTATTCTAGTAACTTCCTGTTTCTGTTCCATGAGCCCAAATAAGGATTATTTTCTTTTTAATGTCTGAATATGCTCAAGGAGACTGGGAAGACTGGGCTTCAGCATTGCATACCACCTTTGGGGACTATTTATTATGTAGTTCGCCTGGCTGTACCTAGCAGTCCTGGGTTGAAAAAAGTTGTGAATACATACACTTGAATACTGCTTCACACAGGTTGTGTTAGTCAGCTTTCCATAACTGTGATTAATGTCTGATCAACTTAATAAGAGGAAAGATTTATTTTGGCTCACAGTTTTGGAGGTTTCAGTTTGTGGTTAGAAGGCCCATTACTTTGGGGCCTGTGGGTAGGCAGACCATCATGGCAGAAGCACATGGTAAAGTGAGCTGCCCACTCCATGGTGTTCAAGAAGCAAAGAGCAAAAGAGCAAGGGCCAGGGCTCTTGACTCTTTCAATGTCTCTTTCAAGGACACCCTCCCCGCAATGACCTACTTTTCTTCCACTAGGCTCCACCTCCTATAGTTTCTACCGCACATCAATAGCACCACAGGCTGGGGACCTTTAATTCATGGGACTTTGGGGGTAGATTCAAAATCCATACTATAGCACAGATGAAGTGGATTTTTCACCTGGTTTGTGAGTTTTCTCGCACTTCATATTCTTAATTCACATATAAGTGCATATCCTAACTATATGTATTTTTATTGCTATAAATCATATCACAAGGGGGCACAGGGCTGGGGCTGTAGCTCTGTTGCAAAGCATTTGTCTAGTATGTGTGAGGTACTGGGTTCAATCCTTAGCACGACTTAAAAATAAGCAAATAAAATAAAGTCATCCTGTCCATCTATAACTGCAAAAAAAGGGGGGTGTGGGTACAGCAGAAAGTTATATTCACAACAATAAGAAGTAGAGCTCATAGGACAGACACTGAAGCTTACCAAATCCAATTCAGGAATTTATAATACTACATGATAGACAGAACTGATAACACACACACACACACACACACACACACACACACACACACAGTGGTCTATCCTGGAAACCTACCACAGAGCTGTATTACATTGATGTATTCATAATGCCTGTATGAAGAGTTCATGATGTGGTGTACTGAATATTCTCTTTTTATCAGGGATAGAGGCATGATGAGCAGGACTTGGGCAGTTTCAGGACTAAAGGAATGTCATCTGGAAATATATTCTTTTGGACCAGTCAGCCTGGACCATACCCAGACAACTGGCCCATGAGGGAGAGAAGAGGAGGAACGGGAAGCGCTTTAAGACTCCCTGAGCAACCTCCACAGGCTTGACACTGCACCACGTGTTCTAGTTGTAAAGTGGACCCTATTGATTACTCCTATTTTACAGATAAAAACACTGAGGTCCAGGGAGGCTAAGTAACATGCCCAAAGCCCTGTAGGAACAGAATTAAAGCCTAAAATATGTCAAATTCCAAAACCCTTTCTGGTCCCTAAGCAATCTTCATATGGGAGGGCAGAGTGCAGCAGAAAAGTAAGCCTATGTAGTAGTCCGATTTCAAGGACAGTCCTTCCTTTTTGTTATTTAGAGAAGGGTGTCCAAGAGAGAACACTAGTCCTAGGTCTTCTCATCAAAGTTGTCTCTTTCTGAGGTCTGGCTCATTCAAGGTATAGATCAGACCCCTAGGAAGAACTTGACATAGGGTTTAGTACACAGTAGTTACTCAATAAATGAGTGCAGTTCTTATTTATATTGTTATTATGTATTACTATTTTTGTTTTGTTTTGTTTTGTTGTACCAGGAATTGAATCCAGGGGCACTTAACCACTGAGCCACATCCCCAGCCTCTTTTTTTTTTAAATATATTTTATTTGGAGACAGGGTCTTGCTAAATTGCTGAGGCTGATTTTGAACTTGTGATCCTCCTATTTCAGCCTCCTAAACCACTGCAATTACAGTCATGCACCACTGGCCTACCAGACCTTCCTTGGTTTCAAGAAGAAGATGAAATAACCAACTGCTAATAGCCTAAGATATGCCCAAAAGCACATCCTACATATGGTTTTACTTTTAAATGCTTGAAGTTCTGGGTGGGGATATAGCATAGTGGTGGCACTTGCCTAGCATGTGTGAGGCCCTGGGCTCAACCCTCAGCACCACAATATAAATACATGCATACATACACTTGGGGTTTGAGTGAAAAAATTGTTGATGAATGAATGAATGGGTATATAGTTTAATAACCCCCAAAAGCTCCAATATAGGGAATCTGAAACTGTGTTCTTGAGGCTTTATAATTTAAATAACTGTAGGATTTTTCTACTTCAGCATACATTTCAATACCAAATTTTCTGAGAGCAAAGCATACCTGAGGATGTTATGTATGAATGATGTTTTGCTTGCTCCTTAGAGTCTTCACAACATTTCTAGGTTATTAAGATTTGTGGTTATTAATTTAGTGTATTTCCTTTCTTAGTGTGGAAATGAATAACATAACAGTATCATTGTCTTCAAAAGTAAGACATAGTAAGATTAGTTGTATTTTCTGTGAATTTTATCTTTTTTAAGAATTTGGAATCATCTAAATATGGTTTTTAAGCAAAACTTGATTAGGAGACTATTAATTTTTTTTAAAGTATGCAGTATAGCATACACGAATCCTGAATCAAGGAGATTTATTGTCCAAAAAAAAAAAAAAAATCCAGATCTCTCCTGTGCTACACTTAGTTGTGTTCTTTGCTTGTGTTTGGCACATGTAATCCAGATTAAGGACCCACAGTGGGTACATTCCATGTGATGTTTGACATGTGTGTTGCTTGACAATACAGCATGTTGCCTTTAAAAAGCCATTTCCACAGTTATCATGGACTTCAGACTGCTGTTTTGCTTCTAGTTAGCATAACAGTGATCTGCAAATGTTCTCAAAACATACTCATAATATTTTTATGATGCAGTATGCTCTTCAGAGCTTTTTGCATGTTTTCTTCTATAGGTTTAGAGTGTCTGGGAGGTATCTGAGTGAAAGTATAATTTTCCTTTGCCATTAAAAATAAATATCTTCACTGTGTTATTTCAGAAACTCACTGTTCAGAAAACCAGGCTTGGCTTAACCGAAGCAGGAGACCTGTCTGCTGAGGATATGAAGAAAATTCGCCATCTCTCTCTGATTGAATTGACTGCCTTTTTTGATGCATTTGGAATTCAACTGAAAAGAAACAAAACAGAGAAAGTAAAAGGACGAGGTAACTAAGGGGACGGATGGCTTTGGTTTTTAATACTGACATGCTAGAATAAGACAGTGCTTTTCTGATTTTATTTTTTTAATTTTTTCTTTCTCTCATGACTGTGTGACATTGAAGACAATGGGATTTTTGGAGTTCCACTTACAGTCCTCCTGGACAATGACAGAAAGAAAGACCCTGAAGTGAAAGTTCCCCTTGTATTACAAAAAGTGAGTAGAACGCAAGTGAATGAATGAGGAGGGAATAGAGCCTTGTGCTTGTGGTTGAGGACTTTGTAAACCCACTAATGAATTTTCCTTTAGGTTGAAAGACACTGAACCCTATTAGGAATGAGACCTTTGGCAATTTTTGACCTTGTTCCAGGTAGCCTCATAATGGCCTATAAGCATTGAGAACAGTTGGTCTTCCTGTTATTTGCTTTCCGTTACTGTAACAAAATATCTGAAGCTGGGTACTTATAAGAAAAGAAGTTTATTTAGTTCACTGTTTTGGAGGCTGAAAGACCAGCTCTAGGGAAGTTCCCCGTCCGTAGCTGCCTGACCTGGTGGAGGGTGGTAACACACTGGTAGCAGCATGTATGACAGGGAGAGCTCACATTGTCAGAGCAGAAGCCAGGGAGAGGGAGGGGCAGTCGTGACCTCCCACTAGGCTCCGCCTCTTACAGGTTCCTCCACCTCAAGACCACCACACTAAGGACCACGCTTCTAGTACTGAACCCTTGGGGAACAAACCACATCCACCACTAGCAGCCTTGCCTGTTAGACACTGTCTGACCACAGAACATCAGAGGATGAACACAGTTTTGTTTTTTCCAATATTTTTTCAAATGTAAATTGTCCATATGTATGTGTGTGTATATTCATTATGTCAGATAAAACTGGCCATTAATTACTATTTGTAGTGTATTTATGGAATATTTGCTAAGATATATCATAGACTAGATTTTTATGAATTACTGTGTGTGTGATCATTTTATAAATTTTTTAAACAAAGTTTAATAGACTTTAAAAATCATCTTGTTCTAGTGGTTTTCCAGGTATGACTGGGCAGATAGGATACTTTTAGACAAAGAGAAGAATTTCAGTAGAAGAAGATTTCTAAGTGATCTCTAAATTATTATGCAAGTATCTCTGTAACTACCCTTGCTAAATAGCTGATTTACTTTTAAGTTATGTTCTTGTCTCATAGGCAGCAATTCACACTGGTTTACCTAAGTATGCATTTATTCAACAGTGACATCCAGTGGCACAATTAAAATTCCAAGCCCTCAACACAAACCTTGTTGGATTTTAAAATGTTTTTGAATGATATATATATATATATATATATATAAACTGAAGAATCATAGTTACTTTACTCACACTAACAATTCTTCATCCTCTTCTGTCTTCCTATATTTTGCTACCAATGCCACAAATTGAGCTTCTCTCTTAAATCTGTGGACTGATTTGAGATTGGGAATAGGAAGGATGGCAGTCAGATAGCCAGAGTATACTGGTGACACCTCTGTGCATAGGGCCCACCTGTGAGCACCTCTCCCCAGCAGGGCTGCACCAGTGTTATCCACATAATGTCCTTTGAGTCAGCCCAGAGCAGCCCAAGGAGATCAGTGTTGTTAATCTCCTTTTTGCAGTTGAGGCCACTGAGGCATAGGAAGGTGAAATAACTTACCCACGATCACACAGCCAGCAAGAGCAGTGTGGAAAAGGAACACAGCGTGGATTCAGGCCCAAAGTTCATGGTGACTCTTAGGGTTTTCTTCCCTGCTTTGAATGAAAACCATATGATGCCCTTTTTCCTCTATGTAAAGTAAAGAGTTCAAAGAAAAAATTCATGGTAATCTGAGACAGAAGATTCAACACATAAATTTATGTTGTTWTGTAAGCACAAAAACCTAGCACAGAACTTAGCAAATGGTAGCAAACAAAAGGCGCTCAAAAAGTGCTAGTTAAAGGCAGTCTGGATTTTATCACATTAGTCACTCAATAAATGTTATTACTGTTAATGTTAAACATTTCTCATTTAAAACAATTTGAGGTTGCCTTCTTTCACTTCTATAGGAGAGTCGTTTCTTCCTCAGGCTTTTTTCTCCTGAATATCTGTTTCTCTTTGTACTTAAAAGAACTACTTTAGTTCCAAGTGCCATCCTTTCTTTAAAGGAGATAAAGAAACTGGATTCTCGTTTCACTGTGTGAAGTTTCACTTTTCTGCACCTCAGTTTTCTCAGTAGTAAAATGAAGAAAATAATAGTGTCTACCTTATATAATTATTGCCAGAATTAAATGAAGTAATATATGTAAAATGCTGAGATTAGTATCTGAGCTGCAATACACAATAAGTAGTGATCCTATAACTTTTTTTTTTTTTAAAGCAACCGTCACCACTGAGAGAACTCATGAGAGTGATTGACCTTTGAAATCCCTAACTTCTTGGTCAGATATCTGCAAGTCCCATAGGGTCTTAGCCAGGGTGGTTACAAAGATTTAGAATCTTTTCTTACTGATCAGTCTTCAGAAGGAGATATAGTAGAAGTTCAATCTTAAAATGGTTAAGTGACAACATATTATACTGGTTAAGAAACAAAGCTTGGGAGAGCCAGTGCCATCTCTTGGAGCTTGATCTTGGGAAAGTTATGTAAGGACTCAAAATCACCATTTGCTCATTTGCTAATTGGAGGATTGTTTTGACCTTTTAGAGTGGTCAAGAATAGTTAACACAGTAGTCAAGTACCAGTTGCATGTACGTGCTCAATATGTTGATTGTTGCTATCATCACTATTTCAGATGTTTATAATCCTATAGAGGTGCTTATTTTTGTAATATATCATTGCTTTCTAGTTTTTTGAGAAAGTCGAGGAATCAGGTCTGGAATCTGAAGGAATTTTTCGACTTTCAGGATGTACTGCCAAAGTCAAGGTACCCGACATTTTCTGTTCCTTGTTAGAAATCAAAGCTAGTTAGATCCAGCCCAAAGGAGCTTTGGGAATTTAGTCTTTGTTGATGTCATTATTTACTTGATACGATCATTTGGCTCTTCCTAATATTCCTTGGTAYCTATGATTATGTGTTTGTTTCATGATCCTTTTAAATTAGACAACATTAATAATAATAAACTGTAACAACAAAACAATACATCAAAAACCACTGCCTATTTTCAGTTTGAAAAGTCAAAATGCTCATCCCTGTTCTGAGTTAGCCACATCAGCTTGCTGGGTTCCTTTTTGTCATGAAAGTCACTAAGCCAACAGCATGGGAGCCGGCCCTTCTTTACATTTCCAGTTACTTTAAGCTTAGAGACATTCACTGGTTTTCCTTTTAGTTGAATTTCTTATGAGAATTTGTAGCCATGGTCATAACCACTGCAGTTCCACTTATGGTAATGTTAGTGTCCACGCACAACACCCCTCAAGCCATGTGCATCCTTTTACCTTGCCTTCTTACTTCTGTAAAAGTGCGAACTCTACAAAAGAGTAAAGGGAAGAATCATTGAAAAGAAAAGCTTTTCTCATTAATTTCCAGTAAAGTATCCCACTGCATCTTCTGATGGGCACACATGATGAAGTATTCATCCTTGTGCTGGGATCAGCCCTGGTTTGTGGATATTAAATAATGAACCTCTGAGAAAAAAGTCTCAGGTGAAGGCAAAAATGAATTTAGTTGTGGCTAGAATTATTCCAAGGAAATGCATAGAAACAGAAAGGTGTGTCTTCATTAATTCATTTTGGTACCTTTTTGGGGAAATTCTGTTTTGTATCCAGAAGTCTCAGGACTTTTTATAAAGAAGTGTTACAAGATTTTTTTAAGTGGAAACAGAGTAAATAGCATGTCTTTTTGATCCTCTAGAGAGCAGATGCTAAGAGGGATTAGCAGTGGAAGAGAGTTGTACTAAGGGATAGTGCTTCTGAAGGTTATCCTTTATAGAGGGCAGGAAGCAAGATTGGGCAGGGTGAGCCTCAGGCCACAGTGCAGGCCTGGTAGTTCCTCCTGTTAGGTGCCCTGCCCTGCCATGGACTGGCCTTCCTGCAGAGAAGGGGCCAACAGCCTGGAGAGTCAGCTGCCTGAATGTTTTGCAGATGCATGTGGCCAATTCTCTTTTGAAGGGAGATCTGAGCCCAGTACCAGGCCATTGACAGTGATGTCAGGGATTAAAGTATATTGGGAGTTTTGACTTCCCTGTTAGCAGAGTTGGCTAAATATAACTTCACCTGGAAGGCAGGTGAGTTTCTAATGGCTCCTTAGGGTTATGCTTTCCAAGTTCCATCTACTTTTTGCCTCCGTTTCTCAAATGACTGATTCTTAGATTCACTTCTGAATAAATGTATCCTGTATCTGAAGGTGGAAACCGTTACTAGTTATGGTTAACTCTGTGGTTACTAGCAGAGTTAGAGACCTGAGATAAAATCAACAAAATGAATTTCCTGAACAAAATCAGACTCCCATTGGAAAGCTACGTTTGCATATATTCTGGCTGCTGTGTGTGTGTGTGTGTGTGTGTGTGTGTGTGTGTGTGTATGTATGTGCGCGCGCGCATACACAGGTGAGTTTGTGAGAAGCACAATGGATAAGATCTAGTTTTTTTTTTCCTCAATAACCAATGGAAGAAAATGTAGGATATCTCTTATGTGTACCAAGTTTACCTTATAGCAAAAGATATTTTTCTTAAGCTAGTCTTTGACTGAAAAATGTTTATCAAAGGCTAATCTTTCCTTCAAAGTGTTCTTACAGGCACATGCATTCCTGAACCACATTTAGGTCAAAGTCCCTTTTCTACCCTAATCGGTTTTATGTAGTGTCAGCCTATTTATTCTACTGCTTGTTAGTCCGAAAAATGTAATCCAGATGTTTTCATGGTTCAGGCTCCAAGAAACCAATGCAAAAGGAATCTGGGCCAGTGAGCAAAAATAGGAAAGTACTGCAGTTAGAAAGGCATTGAAACTTGACGTACTACAGAGGCTTTTATTCTTTCTCTTTAATTCAAACCTCAAACTACCTCTTTCTTCCCTTCCTTCTTTCCTTCCTTTCTTCCTTCCTTCCTTCCTTCCTTCCTTCCTTCCTTCCTTCCTTCCTTCTTCAGCCACTGTACTGCATTTTCTAGGAAAGATTTTTTTTTTTTTTTAATTCTACTGTAATGAGCCTCACCTTGTGCCAGTAAAAGACAGCAACTATTTGAGGCTACACTGTTGAACACCCAGCCTGGCTTTGTGTTTTAAACACTTGATAAGATTGTCAGGGAGGCAGCCTTGAGAAGTTGCAAGACTTTAGCCAAACAGAGACAAAAATGCAAGGCCAGTTTCCCTGTTGGAGGCTGCAGGTCATTTGGATCCAATTTATTGCTTTGGTGTGTTCAGTGATTTTCTTTTAAAAACATGGCAAAAGTCCGAGCCAAACACTGGGGAGTATATTTTTTTTATGAAAGAAGGCAGATAGTTTGACATATGAAGTTCGTTTTTTTTTTTTTTGACTCATTTCTATTATTCCCTGGCAGCACTAAATGCTTTATAGTTACATTACCTGGCCTGTTAGTTTCTCTTCCTGAGCTGGTGGCTGCAGGCTAGTCATTGGCATTTGYATGAAAACTAAATTTTAGCAGGTTGTATTTCTGCTCCAAGGAGATTTAAGAACCTGAATTCCAACCCTTGTCTCTGGTCTCATTAACAGTTGACAGGAAAATTGACTTCTRCACCCTCTAGGTGCTCCCTGTTTGAGGCCAAGTAAATTCACATCTGGTTTATGTGGTTTCATACTTAGGGCTACCGTGGAAATATCATATACCCTCTAGTCTGCTCTGGTCAAAATCAGAAGAGGAAGATCTTTCTCTTGGTATTATTTTACACTAGCCATCTAGACAAGATCATGTGGTACCGTTGCCCAATCACGCTTTACATTCATAGGTTCCTGTAGGACTGACTCTGAAGACTGGAATAGACCTAAGAGGAGGGAGCAACCATTCTTTTTATGGTTGAATCATCTTCCATGGTGGGTCTGAACTGCATTTTCTTTATCTGTTCATCAGTCAGTGGACACTTTAGTTAGTTTCCCTTTCTTGGCTGTTGGGTATAGTGCTGCAATGAATGGCTTGCCACTGCCTCTTTGAAAAACTTATTTCCTTTCCTTTGGACACATACCCATAGTGGGATGGCTGGATCATATGGTAGTGTATTTTTAAAATTTTCAAGRAAGCTGCACACTGTTTTCCATAACAGCTGTACTAGTTTGCATTCCCACCAACAGTGCAGGAGGGTTTCCTTTCTTTTCACGTCTTTGCCAATGCTTCTTATCTTGTTTTTTTTTTTTTAAACTACCTCCTACTTGGTTCTTTTTAAAAATTTCTTCTAATTCATGACAGCAGAATGCATTTGGACACATTGTACACAGATAGAGCAATTCTCATTCCTCTGGTTGTACAAAGTGCAGAGTCACACCAGTCATGCAGTCAGTCATACATTTATATAAGGTAATAATGTCCATCTCATTCCACAATCCTTCCCATCCCCCCACTCCCTCCTCTCCCCTCTGCTCAATCCAGAGTTTCTCCATTTTTCTTAGGAACCCCTCACCCATTAAGGATCAGCATCCAACATCCCMTTATCAAACAAAATATTCATCATTTGATTTTCTAGGTTTGGCTTATTTCACGTAGCATGATATTCTCCAGCTCCACCCATTTACCTGTAAATGTCATACTTTCATTCTTCTTTAAGGCTGAGTAATATTCCATTGTGTATATATACCATATTTTCTTTATCCGTTCATCTGTTGAAGGGCATTTAGGTTGGTTCCATAGTTTAGTTATTGTGAATTGAGTTGCTATAAACATTGATTTGGCTTTGTCAATGTAGTATGCTTATTTTAAGTCCTTTGGGTATAAACCAAGGAGAGGTATATCTGGGTCAAATGGTGGTTCCATTCCATGTTTGCTAAGGAATCTCCATACTGCTTTTCAGAATGGTTGCACCAATTTACAGTCYCCCCAGGAAGGTATGGGTGTACGTTTTTCCCCGCATCCTTGCCAACAATTATTGTTGCTTGTCTTCTTGATAATTGYCATTCTAACTGAAGTAACATGAAATCTTAGAGTAGTTTTGATTTGAATTTCTCTAATTGATAGAGATGTTGAACATTTTTTCATATATTTGTTGACTAATTGTATCTCTTCTGAGAAGTGTCTGTTCAGTTCCTTGGCCCATTTATTGATTGCACCTGCCTACATTTCCCCTCCTAGGCATTTCTTGAATAGCCTCTATCCTTTCTAATTACAAGTGCTTGGTAATTGTCCTTTGGTGTATGGCCTCATAACTGGACTCTTTACTTCTTTTGCCTACTCCTAATCTGTACCAAACCCCTCATTCCTCAAATAATTTTTTCAGTCTGGATATCATCAACAATGAATTGCACCTTGACATTSTCCAGCTTAAAGATGTCCCAAGTTGCCTCACTGACTACAGGAAGCAGTCCTGTCCTCTTCCGAGTGGCCATGGCTGCTTCCCAGGTTCATTCTTTACTCCAGCAACACTAGCCTATCTGCAACTCTCCATGCACACTGGATCTCTATGTGTACCTGTCACCGCTTGAGCTATTCTTTCTACCCAGCATGTCCTTCTGTGTCCTCTTCTGCTATCAGATTTCTCAAGATTTGGCCCTAGCAGTTTGGTTTACTTTCTCTGATGACTGTTACGGTGCCAATATGTGACCTTTCTGAAAGCATTTACATTCTGAATTAGTACTATCAGTTCATGAAATGGTCCCCTCCACTGGACTACAAGACACCTAAAGACAAAGAGTGGATTTCTTGTATCTTTCTTTTCCAGAACCAGTCTGCTGCATAATATCCTTTATTCCAGGACAACTGGAATAAGTGTATTTTTCAGCAAAGGACCACTTGGTTAGCTATAGTATTCCTATTAGATTTCAGGATAAGAAATCTCCTTTGACTAATTTGCAGGGACTGGAGGGTGGATCTCAATCCCATGTATCTCTGTAAGTAACTTGTTATGTGAAGGATCTCCATTTTACAGACTCTGGGAGCCATGAGAGCATCTGTACCTGGCATATTAATGAGCTGCTCTTGATAGGAAAAGGTGAGATRTGTGAACTGACTTTGGCTGAGTGTGTTCAAAGCTGGAAGAATTAGGCTTCTATGGGTTTTCAGTGTTCCTTTCAAAGTATTCCTTTCGGAGAAGTTAGTGCAGTCAGGAGACTAATTGCCTGTTACAGTAGGTAAACCTTGTAGTTCAAAGGAGCAGGAGAAGATGAGTTTGACTTTAGAAAAGAAACATGGAGAACCGGTGGCACTGATAATCAGATGAATTGATAATGTAAAACTTGTAAGGCAAGTAGAACCTTTGAGGGCTTAGTGCTTTTTTGTTTGTTTTTTGAAGTATTTGCACAGTGCTCCAAACCTTATGAAGGATTTGGCAGGCATGCAGACATGTGGAGGACATGTGTGTGTCTTGGCATAAAACTTTGCTGTAACTGCTCCAGGAAGATGTCATTGGCCAGCATGGTGTAGTGAGGTCAGAGTTACTTTATTTGGGACATTTCTCCTTCTGTATGTGGACTAGCTGAAAGGTGCACATTCCTGATCTACTTTAGAAATACAAGTGATGATGGCAGAAGGGATTAAGAAAAGAAGGGAATAGGGACTTTGTCAAAATCTAGCAGTGCATTTATCATGTGGGAATAGTGGTTTCCTGCCAAAACCACAGAAAGGAAACTATGATCTAACTAAAAAATTTTTATATTTGTCTGGTTCAAGATTAACATTATTTTTTAAATATTCTCAAATACATTTTTAAAATTTTATTCATAATCAGTCACTTCAGATCTATTAATCATGTTGAAAAAAAGGTGTAGTATATAGTGCTTTATCACTCTATGTACAAAACTAATTTAATTAATGATAGTTTTCAAAGGGGATAAAAGATGGTAAAAACACACTAAATCTCATTGCTGTCTTCCTTGATTTGCAGCAATACCGTGAAGAACTGGATGCCAAGTTTAATACTGATAAATTTAAATGGGACAAAATGTGCCATAGAGAAGCTGCAGTAATGTTGAAAGCATTTTTCAGAGAACTACCCACCTCTCTCTTCCCTGTGGAATATATACCTGCCTTCATCACCCTAATGGAAAGTAGGTAGAAGATGTTAAATGTGAATGGACTAAGATATGAGGTCAATAAAGTGATAGAGCCGAAGAGAGGTGCCTAATGACATGTGACCACATGTGTAGATTTGCTGTTTCCTGATGATGCTTGGTTGAAATATTAARTTTGATTGTAAACAATTATCCATTTACATACTAATGTGTTTAAGTCTGGTATGTATGATTTTGAGGGCTCTGTGATAGTTTAAAGGGCAGAGGGGTTCACAGGAAGATGGGACTCTTCAGCTTTGAATTCCTGTGTAACCATCTTTTAGCCATGCAAACTTTATGAGCTTCAACCRCTGCACCTATAAATTGCAAATAATAATCACTTGTTAGGGTTATTGTGGGGATTGAATGAAAGCATCAAGAATAGCCTTTCAAAAACATGAGATCCCTCCCTTCTTAAGTCTGAAGTCCTGGGTCTGACGATGCAATGTGTAACAAGTGTGAAACATTTTGTTTCTGAAAATCATAATACCATACAGTGTTTCTGAAAATCACAGTCTCATAGATTAGATCTTAARTGAGGTACTTGACAGAATGCACAAAGTTGGACTGTGTGGCTGTATTTGGCAGTCAGGGAATACTTTGAATGGTTGGTCTTAAGGGTTGAGTATTGTTAGAGGATATGAAAACAGAAAAATTTATAAAAGTGGAATGGGTTAGATATTGGGGGCTTTGCCTACTGACATGGTGAAGTCAGGGGTCACAAGCCTAAGACTATATGAGCATGTTAAGTAAATGGTAGTTCTACATGAACAGAAAAGGGCTATGACCAAACTACTTCCCATTTACAGACACTGGTCGCTGCTCAGYTCTGGGTAATAGTTGCCCTGCAGGACTGAGAGCCAAATTCAGGCTTTAATGGGAAAAATTTTCATTTGAAAATGTCAGCCAGAAATTCAAATTTTAAAGTGCTCTGTGAGTTTAACACATGATATTTATATCTGATAGTCTGCAACCTTCTGCAGGTTTAYTAGAACTATAAAGTCATTAAAATATTAATGAAATAAAATAACATAGATCCTAAGTTATCTAAAAAATTTGTCCTAAAAAAATAGAAGTTTCCTATCTTTAAAATTTTTAACTGAACCAGATTCACAGAATTATCCTTTGTGTCTTTAAATAAGAGACTATTAGAGTCAAGGTGACCCTTTTCTAAGCTTTAATTTACATATGTAGTCTGTGACCAGTACCTTTTTTTCCCCCACTAGGATCCAGTCAGTATTTTAGAAAGAAAAAATTGCTAAGAGAGAAGGAAAAGTGACTTCCATTCTTTCATTTTTATTTCAGATAATTGTGGGATTTTTTTTCAATTCTAGGATTTTCAGTTGGTGCTTTTTAAATATTTTTTATTCATATGCTAAGATACCCTATCATTTCCTTCACTTCRTTGGTCATAATTTTTATAGCTGCTTCAAAACCGCTATTTGACTGGGTATGTAACACATACCTGTAATCCCAGCAACTGGAGAGGCAGAGGCAGGAGGACTACAAGTTCAAGGCTAGTCTTCAGTCTCTTTGTGAGAACCTGTCTGAAAATAAAAAAGGGCTGGAGATGTCACTCAGTGGTAAAACACCCTGGATTTTATCCTCAGTACTGTAAAACAACTACAACAAAACACACATGAAAAAAACCTGTCTGCTAGTTCTGCTGTGTGGGTTATCTCAGGTTTGGTCTCTGTCTTTACCTTTGAGAATAGATTACATGTCCCTGTTACTTCTGTATGTCAAGTCAGTTTAAATTGTCTTCTGAACATCATGAATGTTGTGTTTGGAGACTGGTTTCTGCAGTAGTCCTCCAAAAAGTATTTGTTTGTTTGTGCTGTTTTAAGCTGGTAATTTGCTTGGCTGGACTCTAGTTGCTAGTGTCTTTTGGACAGCAGCTCAGCAAGGCTCAGTTCTGTTATTTAATCCTCTGCTATGCTGTCCTGAGTGGCTTTTGGGTCAGCCAATGATTTGGGTGGAGTTTAATCTACAAATAGGGTCTTCCAACTCTGGATCCCTCCTTTTTATGATGGCTCCATAACTTTCTGGGAGCTATGGTTGCCTTGAACCCTATTTTATGATTCAGGTCAGAAAGAGTAGATTATTTATTTACTTATTGAATTTTTGGCCATCCTAGACAACCCTGACTATGGCCTGGCCTCAAGTTAGAAGCCAGGAACACGTAACACTCTCCCTGTGCCCTCTCCTATTCCAGGTGCCCAGCCCCTCCTGAGCGGGCCTCTTTTGTTCCCTTCCACTGTCTCAGGTAGTTGGATTTTGTACTTTGTCTGAAGATTGTTCAGAATGGTTGATTTTTGTAAAAGGAGCTTACTCAGCCAAACCAGAAACAGAATTTCCTATTTTTAAGTTTAAAATTTTTTTTTCAGGACTTCCTATTTTTGTTTGCTGTCCTAGAAAATGGACTGCAAAATTATTAGTTTCCCTTTGCTTTGTGGTTCATATGCCAAAGAAGTCATCAAAAGAAACCATGCCACAGAGGGTTGTRTTTTTGTTTGCTTGTTTGTGTGATTTGGAATTATGAATTATGCAAGGAGGATTCAGACCTCCAAAGGTTTTAGAGCCATCCTGAGAATCATATTAAGAAAGGCGCATGAATAAATGAATTTCTCTTCCCATCATCGCTTCCTCTCTGACTGCAGCCAGTGCACTTCACTGACAGGGGATAATTTGAAAAATATCCTGAAAAGGTTCACAAAGGAGTCCACACTTCCTTGTAGGACTTTGAAAGTGAAAAATACTATATTGCAGGTGATTGATTTGATACCAGCTAACCCTGCAGGAAGCCCAGAGTTCTGGCCTCTGAGCAGCAGGAAATAATGGCCTTTTTGCCACCTGAAGAAAGCTCTCTCGTTTTAACGAGATTTTCTGAAGGGGAGAATTGTGAACACACGCGAGTGCGTGTTTAAGCAACCCTCTTGATACTGAAGTTCAGAGAGCACAGATTCTTTCCCAGTTGTGTAATTACTTTCTCTTTTCAATCTTGGCCCCCAAATTGCCCGTACAATTAAAAAACTCATCAATTGAGCCTCATATGCTTTCTTGAAGTGTTAATAACTTTCTGGGAGAATAATGACCTCAGGAAAAAGAATGTTCTCTACTAAGACGCATTAAACAAATTAACTGCAAAACTATTAACCACAGAACAGTTTAGGACCAAGCTTCCTAAGTAAAATGAAAATGGATTATTTGCCACATGAAACTTTTAATTGTAAAGAGAACTTCATAATTTCTCTGAAACGGATGGAAATAGAGAGCTCCCAAGCCTACATCTGCATCTCGTTTCCCCCACCCAGAGGTGTTTTTGCATTACATTGGAAGATTAGAGACAGTCTGCAATCTGCAGTTTATGTATTAAAATAATGTCTCTCTGTCCCTAAATGCTCTGTACAGAGACATTCTCCTGATGGTTCTTATTCAGGCAAGCTCAYGTCAATGTGCATTGGTGGTTTTCAGTTACATCCTGAACTTAGGTCATATTTTGTTTATGAATTTGACATAAATATCTAAACTTCACATATGGGTTCTGCTGAGAGCATGTGGTCTAATCCTTATAAACATGCCTCTCACTGCTGCCTTGTTCATGATTGTATACACTTGTCATCCATCCCTACCTCCAGTACTCACAACCTCTGCTAGCCTAGTAGCTCGTCACGTGAGCGTTTCCACTGTTGTGAAGTTCAGTAACTTTATAACAAACTGCCTGCTTTTCAGCCATTGAATATAATATTCTCAAGTTGAAGTTCTCTTGAACTTGAGAACTCCTGAGGGATTCCAGAACATAATGCTTTCCTGCAGGAACTCCTCACCAAGAGACCATTTTGAGGAGAATACAGAAAGATGAAGGAAAGTCTGGATTCTCTAGTGTACTTTAAAATTTCATCACGGCTGCTTATGGATTATCCTGTGTGGATGGACTCCCTCTATATAAATGCCAACCCTCTGGCGCCATCTTGTGTCTTTAAGGAATAAAATGCCTCAACAGTCTCCAAAGAGCAAACCACAGACACCATCCCTAAATGTCCCCGTACAAGCTAGAACAGGTGACATTGATCACAAGAGCATGCACATGTAGCCATGATTGTATTTAGGCACTAACTTAAACACTGTGCATTTATCAGCTCATTTAGTCCTCACATCAGTCCTGTGAGGTAGGTAGGATGACTATTCCCATTTTGTAGATAAAAAGAAAGCAATAAGGTCTTATATAACCTGCCCAAAYGCACACAGTGATTTGGTAGTAGGCACAGGATTTGAATCTAGTTCTAGAATAAATGTTCATAATAACTATATCTTGCTGCCTCATTTTGAAGAAGCAAGATGTATTTGCTCTCAAATTGAGCAAATAGACTTTTAGTATAAAAGTAAGGCCAAGGCCTTTGAAAATAGAGATGCTATACAAATCTGGGGTTATTTTAAGTATTTGGTTGGCCACCTGCTTTTACAGTGGCATGAAGGGAGGTTGATAGACGGAGGCTCCTGTCCAAGTGAACAAATTTACATTGTTGAGCACAGAACCTGAGTCCTTACCACTGAAAGCTGTCAGGAGCCCTCCTGTGCCACCAGATGTTAGCAAGAAATGCTGTCAGAATACATTAGTATTATTTCAAATGTGTGATTATTTCTGTTTTCTTGTTAGGAGGGCCTCACATCAAAGTGCAGTTTCAAGCCTTACACCTGATGGTCATGGCACTTCCTGACGCCAACAGGGATACAGCCCAGGTATGTTGGGTTGACCTCAGGGTTTGTCATGGGGGTCATATTGCTCAAAGGAAATGACTCCTCTGGAAAAAATTGAAAACTGATGACAACTTGCAGATCCTACCTGAGCATGCTGCAAACTGCCTTTGCACACCCCTACCCCACTGCCACTGTGCTGAGGAAGAGAAGGTCTGGAATCTTCTTTGAACATTTAAATTCCATTCACTTAATTCACTCAAGGGATATTGAGTRTCTATGCTGATGCCAGGCACTGGGCTAGATATTAGAAGTAGGAGAAGAGACAAAGATGAAAGGCTTAAATGGAACAATGTCAGAAGTAAATGAGATCATATTATAACCTGTAAAATACAAGACTGTAATTGTTAGTTCCTCAGCTGCTCACTTTAGTGGCAAAAAAAAATTAACAGGTAGATTTTGGGGAGGAAACGTGAAGTCATTGGATTAAGTGAAACTTCTAAAATGTTTTGTGTTTTAAAATGTGTGAAAATAATACAAATTAAATAATTTTAGAATTTTAGACATTACTTGATAAAATCTGGTCATTTTGCAGATTAGGAAAATGAAGCTGAAAGAAACAATTTGTTCATTAACATATAACAGAACATTTGATAGAATCATATTTCATAGTTCTTTATCTCAGATATCCCTCCCTTTATTTCAAATTCATTGCTTTGTTGTATGTTGGTTAAAAAAAAAAAGAAAAAGTTTCTCTTCCCATTTCCATAGTAATTCTGAATACAATAGAAGATTTGTTTTAAGTATACAGGTATTTACAGGAATCTTTGAAAAAGCCCATAATTTGGAACCCAGTAAACATATGCTGAAACAMAACTTTGTCACTTCTTATCAGATGACACTCTGTGTGGTGAGGACCTTTCTCCTACACAGTAAAAACACTCATGTCAGTTATGTGTTGATTATATCTTCAACATAAGGATGGGATTACTGAACCATAACAATGTCAGTCTCTAATATAATTCAGTAATTTTTTAAAAGAGAGAAATTTGTTAGCTTGTTTTGGGTGTTTGTCTAAACTATCATATTTTATCAAAATCAAAAGTCTATCTGGTGCCCAATATCTGAGTTCATGATTATTTTAGGCAGTTTCCAAACAAGTTATTAGTCAAACTCTAAAAAGAAAAGTGGAAATTTAAAAGGACACTCTACATAATGGATTCTTTAGTTTTATAGCTGTGTTACTTTGATTGAATCAGTAGTTGAGTAAACATATTTGGCATTGACTATAAAGTTAGCTTATTAACATAAATTTTATRTTAAAATTTAGGACCTAAAGACTGAAATTAAATCAAAAGTATATATAAATTCTGTATGTTTTCCAGTCCTGCTTCTAAAAGGAGATTTAAATAAGTGATCAACTAAGTATTGAATACTCAATTTTTTAAACTTAGTTCTATTTTATTTTTGTGGTACTTGGGATTGGACCAAGAGGTGCTCTACCATTGAGCAATGTTACCAAGCCCTTTTTAGTTTTTATTTTGTGACAGAGTCTCACTAAGTTACTGAGGCTGGTTTCCAACTTGTGATTCTCTTGCTTTAGCCTCCCAAGTTTCTGGGATTACAGGCATATACCACTGTGCCCAGTTGATTTTTAAATTAATATATATTATATATATATGAGTATATATATATATATATGAGTATATATATATATGAGTCAAAATGTCATCTACCCTTTCATATAACTGAGGATGCAGCAATTGTCAAAAAATCCAATACGTTTCTAACAAAAGATCCCCCCAAAAGTTCATGGAACTGGTGATGTTATATATGCCCATACTCAACGTGTACACCATGTCCACACATGCTTGTGCATCCTTGCGCATATGTGCATACACACACACATTTTTTTTGTTGTTTTCATTCTTAATTGTGCCTGGATCTAAAATCTAAGCTGGTATGGTATAGCAGTCAAGAATGTTAACTATAGGGCTGGGGTTGTATGTAGCTCAGCGGTAGAGCGCTTGCCTAGCGCATATGAGGCACTGGGTTCCAATCTCCGCAACACATATAAATGAATAAAGGTGCATGACAACTAAAAAAAATATATGAAAAAAAATGCTAGCTCAAGAACTGGTTTCCTTGGTTCAGATCCTGGCTCTGCTAGTTAATTCATTGGTGCTAGGAAAAGCCACTGGGCCCTTCTTCACCTCTGTTTCCTCATCTGTAAAATAGAAACCTTTTAGGGTTTAGAAGGATGTGAATAAGTATAAAGCATTAAGAATAATGACTGTCCTATGTTAAATCTTCAGATAAATAATAAACTATTCACATAAATAATAAGCTATTATTACTACCATATGCTATGCATTTTCTCATGACAAATATCTGTAGTAGAATTGAAATTGCAAAACCAAATATTAGTTCCTTTTGAGATTTCAGTCTTATTGATGAATTTCTAAAGGTGAGAATCTATACTTTGGTGGCTCTACAAGATTTTTCTAATTATTTCTTCTTCCTCCTTCCTCCTCATCTGCTTAGAACAGTTGTATGTAAGCATTATTTTCCTGTGGGCAGTTGAAGATTTCAGAAATGAAAAGCAATAGAAAAATATCACCCAATAGTAAAATTTTAAAACTTTTTCAATTGAGTTTACATTTGGGCAGATGAATGAAATATTTATATTGTTTAAATTTGTTTTATTTCTGAAGGAAGAAGTAACTCATTTTTAACAGTAATGCTTCAAATTAAAGGTTTATTTTAAAGAAGTACTTCTTTCACTATAAACTACATTTCATGTTTATTTGAGCTGCGGAGTTTTCTCTCCCTGTTTTATGTTTAATTTTAATATATGTCAGATTGTTTGAAACAAAAGAAATAAGAAAATATAAGCTATAATTTATAGAGACCCCACAAATAATAAATTCTCTAAAAATGTAGTTATTTTATGAAACAATCAAATAAAATTTTCTTCTTAGAACTTATAAGCAGGTTAAGGGGAAATATGGCACATTTATGCATTCTACACTTCTGACATTTCCCAGTGTCACAGTGAGTGGGTATAGAAATGAGTGGTCGCAGCCATTGGAACCATGGACAGTTTACAATAGTATGACACAATGCTATTTCTTGTTAGGCCCTCATGACATTCTTCAATAAAGTGATTGCCAATGAATCAAAAAACCGAATGAGTTTGTGGAACATTTCCACTGTAATGGCACCAAACCTTTTCTTCAGCAGAAGCAAACATTCTGACTATGAAGAATTACTGTTAGCAAACACTGCAGCCCACATCATCCGCCTAATGCTTAAGTACCAGAAAATTCTATGGAAGGTAAGTAACAATGAGATGACTGTCAGGCTCCCCTCCAAAGTTCACCAGCACCAGGAGATGTAAGGATTCCGTRAAGGAGCAACCCCCTTAGTTAGAAGGAGGAAAGATGAGAACATAGATTCTTGCCTACTATGCCGTCCACTTAAGCTGTGTTTCCATATCCACAGGTTCTGTAGCTCCATATTCAGCCAACCACAGAATGTAATTCTGAAAAATTTTTGGAAATATTTCCAAAATATTTTTCATCAGTACTGAATATGCACAGATCATTTTTTACCATTATTCYCTCAAGAATACAGTATACAGTATGCTTTTTACATAGTATTTACAYTGTACTGGGTATTATAAGTAATCTAGAAATGGATTAAAGGTATATACATAGGTCATGTGCAAATACTAGACCATTTATAGAAGGGACTTGAGCATCCTCAGATTTTGKTATCTGAGGGTATWTCAGGAACCAGTCAGTCTGCCTTGTGTACTGAGGGATGACTATACATTTTTTGAGAGCTCCTCTTTAGCATGTTTTCCCTATTAAACAGAAATCCTTATTTTTTTAATTCCCTTTTACAATCAAATGCCACAGTTCCTCGTTCCAAGATGCTGAGTGGCACAGGGAGAAGCTAACATAACTGAGGGAGGTTTATTTCAAGTGGTTTCCGTCTAATCAAGCTATTTTTCTTCTCCAGGTTCCATCTTTCTTAATCACCCAAGTAAGGAGGATGAATGAAGCCACGATGTTGTTAAAGAAGCAGCTCCCAAGTGTGAAAAAGCTGCTCCGGAGGAAGACCATAGAACGGGAGGTGAGAACAGGAAGAGTGCACACTGTTCGCCTTCTAGACTTAACTTCTCAAATGAAGGCCAAAGTAACTTTTTTAATAATTTAGAATCAACAATTTTACATGGTCTTGAGACTATGACTGTGGCCTTTCCATTTTGTTGAATTTTGACTAAAGTTCTTGAGATATCTATCTCATGAAGATCGTTTAAAATTCTGTTAAGGAATTACTGGAACAGCTAGAATGGCTCTCAAAAAAGCTGCAAGTTGACATTTTCGTCCTCGTGAACTGGATTTAAGGGCAATCCCATATCCAGTATGTCAAATAAGTAGGGAAAAAGATCTCTTTAGGGATGGAATAATATGAGAGATAATCATCAAATGGCTTTCGGTAAATTTATTGCATTCCCAGGAATTTTTCCTGTAGCAAAATTATTTGTGTAGAGGTATGTAATGGAAACAGGTTTTAGAAGAAATATCTTCATTGATTCAGTTAAACTTGGGGGTGATCCATGAATGTCAAGCATTGATTTCATTCAACCTTAAGAAGGATCCAGATACTTGAAACTCAACTTCATCTTTGAAGGAACTTGCACCTAATGTGAGAAGCAAATGTGTCTAAGTGCATGAATACCCAGGATATGCCTGAGTGACAGACCAGTTGTGCAGACAATGTCCCAGGACCGTGCAGAGGATAAATATATGTGCATCAGCTTGAGGAATTGTGGATGACTTGATGGAGGAAGTGGTGTGCAAGTTACATCAGGAAAGATGGGTAGCACTGAAAAGAGAAAGGAAGGGATGTTTGTTCAGAGAAAGAGCAGGGAGGCAGGGAGGCAGGAGGCAGGAAGCAGGAGGCAGTATTGCTACCTGATTCACCACAGCACAGTCGTGATGAAGGGCTGTGGTCCCTTATAGATTGTAAGCAAAGTGACTTCATATAAGGAAAACCAACACTTGCATTTGAAGGAAAAAAACTTTTAATCTATAAAAAAATTCAAACAATATTAAATTCATCATTTTAACCATTTAAAGCCTACAGTTCACTGGTTTTTAATATATTCACAAAGTTGAAACTTCTTTTTTCAGTAGTTGTGTGGATAAGACATATTTTCTTTCCTGTTTTGAATGTCTACTAACTTTTTGTTGAAGACTGAACATTCTGAATATTATAATGTGGCAACTGTAGAAATCAGAACCTTCCTACAAGATCCCAACTCAGAGTTGGTTGCCACTGCTTGTTGTACCTGTTTAGTCACTTTTTTTGCTGAACTAAGTTTGTAATGTCTGTTTTGTGTGGCTACTAAAATCGCTGTTCCATGAGCTTAATGGTTAGCTGTTGACTTAATGGGGGCTTTGTTCAATGACTAGAAACAAACCAACCTCACAGTCTTTGCAGATGAGCTGTGTGAGTGTGAGTGTTGGGGTCCCCTTTCCCTCCTCAACCAGGCAGTTTCTAACTCTTCCTGAGCCTTCTGCCTCCTGCTTGCACAGTACCTGGAGATCAGCCTAGAATTTATGCCTTTTTCAGGTCTTTTCCAGTCCTGGCCTTAGTAGTGGCTGAGTACTTAGCCCTTTAAGTTCTTAGAAATGTCAGAGTTTTTCAAACCCTTATTCCCTAATGCAGCTCAGTATCCAGCCTTGATTCCCAAGATTTTCAGTTATCTGTTTTCCCCAGCTCTTATCCACTGCATCAGGCAGCTGAGACTACAACATTTGCCTATAAATGTTTTCAATATTACACTTGTTAGCACAGGTCAGGTTCCAAGTTAGATGACATAAAGCAAGTCTTTTGAGCCAGTCTTCCAGGGATCACCCAGACAGGTCAAAACAAGTTTTAGGATTCTTTGTGAATAAGGTCCATTTTGTTCCCTTCTTACCTGTACCAGGAATGCAGGCTGATGCCTTCAAGGTTTTGCAGAGCTAGGGAGATGGGATGGGAAGAGTGTAAGTGGAAACACCACAAAGCTTGCTTTCTTACTGAGATTCGATTGTTGTTCTTATTCAGACAACCCCCTGGTTGCAACCTTTAGGTTAGCATCCAGAGTTCTGAAAAAGTTGATACTGATAGTGCTTGCCATTTTTTTTTTATGGAGGGGTGGACTTTTAGGGTTGCTTGGGCTGTCCTTTTTACTCAGGAAAATATTAATGGCATAAATATGATACATGTGGAGCTGAAGCAGAGGCCTGGTTGCCAGTTACTACCTATATGAGCTTGGGGAAATTTCATTTGCTCTTTGAGCCTTAATTTTTTTTATCTTATAAATTGGAAGTAAAGTAATATCTATTTTACAGACTTATCATGATGTTTGAGTCATATACTATATATGTAAAGCACTTTGTAAACTTTATATTGCTATATGAATGTCAGTTATTTTAATGCCTGGATTATATATGTGGATTGGTTATGTGTAGCACCAAGGTTGAACTTAAAGTTTATAAATACCATGGAAGCAATGGTTTTTCTTTAGCTCTATTATAATATATTGTGTAGGAGAATTGTTTATTTTTGGTGCCAGGGATTGAACCCAGGGGCACTTAACCACTAAGCCACATCCCCAGCCCTTTTATATTTTATTTTGAGGCAGGGCCTTGCTAAGTTGCTGAGGCTGGCTTTGAATGTGTGACCCTCTTGCCTCAGTCTCCTAAGCCACTGGATTACAAGTATGTGCTACCACCTGGCAGTATTGTGCTTATAATTCTTAATTTTGGTTGAATAGGCAGTTCTTTACTGAATTACAAATTCAAAAGCTAGAAAAGAYTGGAAAAAAATTAGCCAGTCTTGACTTCCCCTCCTGAAGACAAATAATTTCACCAATAACAGAATATGTCTACACAGGAGCATATAATTATGTATATTTCCACATATGTTGTATGCACAGATTAGCAAATATGAATACAACTGACCCTCTGTATCAGTGTCCACTGCTTCTGATCTGATTTAAAATAGTCAGGAAAAAAAATAACATTAGTACTGAATATGTAGACTTTTTATTGTTATTATTCTCTTAAAAATACAATATTTATTTTTACAATATTGGGGGTTGTGGCTCAGCGGTAGAGCGCTCGCCTAGCATGTGCAAGGAACTGAGTTTGATCCTCAGCACTGCATGAAAATAAATAAATAAAATAAAAGTATTCTGTCCAACTATAACTAAATATATATATATATATATATATATATATATATTAAATGCAATATAACTACTGTCCACATAGCATGTATGTTGTCTTAGGCCATCCAGAGATAATTAACTTAAGGCCTACAGGAGGATGTGCCTAGGCTATGTGCAAATGCTATACCATTTTATATGAATGACTTGAGCATCCATGTATGTTGGTGTCCACACAGATCAAGGAAACAATGCCCTGCAGATACCAAAGGTCAGCTGTGTATGCTCTTCCCTTTGCTTCCCTTTGTTTTACATGAATGATAACAAATAGGAATCACCATCCTGCATCTTGCCTTATGACTTAGGAAATCATAGTGATCATTCCATGAGTCCACAAACCCTGCTCCTTTGCTTATTTTGAATGTTTTTCCATAGGTGTACAATAATTTACTTAAGCATCCCCAGATTATCGAACTAATTAGATGGGATCCAATCTTTTGATATTACAATTTGTGCAACAGTGAATAAACTTGTTTATGTCTTTGTTCACAAATGAAGTAATTTATAGTATAAATTTATAGATGGGGAAGTGTGTGGTCAAAATTCATATACATTGTATATGAATATATACAATGATAAATACTTAAAACCATAAAGATTGTACCAGATTCCATAAGCAGCTCATGCTTGGTTTCCCAACATGAATCCTGAAGACTAACCATGTTTTCTTTAGGGTACAAGCCCCAAGACTTCAAAGGTACTACAAAAATCACCCTCTTCTAGAAGAATGGTAAGAAAACAAATAGTTTCCTTTCCCCCATTAACTACCTACATGTAATCTGGCTGCATCTACCACATTCTTGTATAATTTTGATCATGATCTATCCTTCAAACTTGGCATTTATTGCATGGAACATAAAGCAGTTGTACAGAGACTCAACTAACTGATGATTGTGAGGTGTGTGGTTAGGCATCCTATATACAAGTATGAATGCCACTGAAAGTTGTAAGGGAAGTGGGGTTGCTATGATCATAAGCCCAATAAAACCAAAGCATGAAATTTATCTTATAGAGGCTTCTGGCTGCAGAGCTGGGAGGGGAAGGACATGAGATAATCAAGGAGTATTTTGAGAGTACAGTCTTGGCTGCAGTGAGCCAGGAACTCTGCCCCCTTTCAAATCCACATCCCTCACCATCCATTTTCTGGCATGTTCCCTCAGTTCTTGCTGATAATACTAGGAAAGTGTTAGAAGATCTGACCCTTTTTAAAACCAGTTTTATAGTTTCCCAGGTCTGCCATAACAAGGTGCCACAAACAGGGTGGCTTATAATAATAGAAATTCATGCTCTTATAGTTCTAGAGGCGAAAAGTCCAAATCAAGATGTCAGTAAGGCCAGTTTCTTCTGAGGGATGTGAGGAAAGGTCTGTTCCAGACCTCTTTTCTAGTTTTTGGTGATGCCAACAGTCCTTGGCATTTCTTAGCTCATAGATGCACCACTTCCATCTCTGCTTCAATCTCCACATAGCATTCTCACTATATTTGCCATCTTTCTTCCACTCTTTTTTTTTTATTTAAAAATTGAAGACTGTTTATTTGATTCTTTTAGAGTCTTTAAGCAACAGAAATATCCTTTTGTCTAAACATATTAAGTATCTTGTAACTGTTGGATGAAATATTTTAATTCTTAAAATATGAGCTAGTAATTTTTCTATTAAATTTATTTAGTTATTCTAATATGTTATACATGACAGCAGAATGCATTTCAATTCATAGTACACATATAGAGCACAACTTTTCATGTCTCTAGTTGTTCACAAAGTAGAGTCACACCATTCATGTCTTCATATATATAATCAGAGAAAATATTTGGCCTTTGTTTTTTTGGGGATTGGCTTACTTTGCTTAGCTGTAACTCCATCCATTTACCTGAAAATGCCATTTTATTCTCTTTTAATGCTGAGTAATATTATACACACAGTTTCTTTATCCATTCATCTACTGAAGGGTACCTAGTTTGGTTCCACAGTTTAGTTACTGTGAATTGTATAAACATTGATGTGGCTAGRGTTAACAGGAACAAATCTCTTCTACTCTTGAAAAGGACATAAGTCATATTAGATTAAAAGCCCACCTACTTCAGTTTGATTTCATCTTAACTAATTACATCTTCAATAACCCTATTTCCAAATAAGATCACATTCTGAGGGTCTTGGAGCTGGGACTTCAAATATGATTTCTAGGGAAATAGTTCAGCCTATTATATTGTTATTCTAGGGTATATAATGAGTCAATTCCTATGCACTTTCTTTTATCAACAGTACCATCCTTTAAGAAGTTAGAAATTTAGAACAATTACCTGAGGAATAGATTTGCAAGTGGAAATTTATTTCTCTTCAGCTACATAATTATTATAAGAGTCAAAATTTTTGAAGCAAATGGAATTTTCCACTCTGACAAGACAGAAATTTCTGTTAATCAAACAGAAGCACAACCCTTTGAATATTCCATTTAGCTGAAAGCCCCAAGGTCTGCTAATCACATCTTTCAAAAGCAAAGACACCTTCTTCCTCAACATAGTCACATTCTGTTCTGTACAGGGTTAGCAACATGCTTTGCAGGCTAGTTTCAAGTGCCCACGTAGAATTTTATTTGAGCTGGCCATTCGTGGCCACTTAAGAAAAGAGGGTATTTGAGAATTGATTACTATTTTCAGAAATTTGGCTTCTTAAAGTATTTTAAATGTTGAATTGTACTTAAAATGGGCTTATTTAGGTCGTTGTTCAATAAAGACATTGATGGAAACATTAGTTTTTTGTCAAAAGTCAGTTTTACTCTTTTCATTATTTTTAAAAATGTTTTATTTTTATTTTCATATTTTTTAGTTGTAGTTGGACACAATAATCTTTATTTTTATGTGGTGCTGAAGATCAAACCCAGTGCCTCACACGTGTGAGGCGGCTGCTCTACCACTGAGCTACAGCCCCAACCCTCTTTTCATGATTTTGACATCTATGTGTGTAATTAATGAAAGTAAAATCCCAGACTAAGTTTGGTCATTAGTTATTCTCTTGGTTAAAAAGAAAACAGTGCTCTATTCTGGTTAAATGTTGGTCATATTGACATGAATTTCTAATTCTGATTACTTGATTTCTAATTAATGTTTCTTAAATGCAGTCATTGAACTAATAATTCATCCTAGTTTGACACAATGTACTGAATTTTCCCTCATTGACAGTCTGACGTGCCGGAAGGAGTCATAAGGGTCCATGCTCCTCTTCTCTCTAAAGTGTCCATGGCCATTCAACTGAATAGTGAAACTAAAGCCAAAGACATATTGGCGAAATTTCAATATGAAAACAGGTGAGTGAGTGTGAAGGAAGGTCACTTCACAAGGAAGAGGGATTTGCATCAGATGAGTAAACTTCTAGGCACCTATAAACTTTGCCTTTTGAAAAATTAGAACTGTAGGGAATAGGAAAGGTAGCAGAGTACAACAATTACTAATTGGGCATTATGTAAAAYTGTGGATGTGTAACCGACATGATTCTGCAATCTGCATTTGGGGTAAAATTGGGAGTTCATAACCCACTTCAATCTAATGTATGAAATATGATATGTCAAGAGCTTTGTAATGTTGTGAACAACCAATAAAAAAAACAAAAAAATAAATAAAAATAAAATRAAGTGTACATTTAAAAAAAAAAAAGAAAGAAAAATTAGAACTGTTATTTTGGGAATTTTACCAGAAGACTATAAAGGTTAAAAGCAGAGAAAAGGCAAATACAAAAGTCGTTTTTTAAAGGAAATTCTACAAATGGGATTCTTGCGAGGTACTCTTTATTTATCTTAGTCACTTCATTTATTCAGTTGAGTTGTACATTTTATTAGAATGAAAAAAAATACAGCAAGCTAGTTTTGTAGATCTCTTGATAGTTTTCCAGGAATATCATTACTTTAGACTTCCTCATGGGCATCACAGTTGTTTCTTTCCTGAAAACATACAAACATACTACTAATAATCTTTAGACTAAGAATGATATTTAGATTTAGGCATCTGCCATCAATAACCATAAAAGAGCATAAATCATAATCCTTTTTGCATAGGAATGCTTGCTCAAGTATAAACATTTGCCTTGAGATTTTCGAATGATAAGTAGCATATATATCGTTTGTTGGTCTCTACTAAAACTCATGGATATCCTTAAAAAGCATTTCACTTATATTTCAAAGGAGTAGCTGTGCTGACCAGAAAGAGCCAATTCTAAAAGTGTGCATGTTGTATGATTACATTTATATAGCATTTTTGAAATGAAAAATTGTGCAAATGGAGGATAAATTAATAGCTGCCATTAACTTGGGATGATTGTGGGAGGAAGATGGGCATAGATAGGAAAAGGGCATCATGAAGGATGCTGGTGGAATTGGAACTGTGCTGTTGGACTCCACTGTGGTGGTGGTGGGTCAACAAACCTCTATAACATTGTATTTAACTTAATTCACACAAAATGAGCACAAGTCAAGCTGCAAGATCTGAATGAGATGTATTTTATCAACATTAATATCTTTATTGTAGTTTTGCAGAATGTTAGCATTGGTGAAAACTGGGCAGGAGTACAAAGAATCCATCATTTCTTATAACTATATGTGAAGCTRTAATTATTTCAATAAAAATTTCAGTTAAAAGAATAAACAAGAGTAGCTAGTGAAAGTCATCTGTGATATTAGAAGTTAGGATGGTGGCAGTGCAAAGGCATGAGAAAGAATGTGGGAGGCCTCCAATCCTTTTTTTAGACATGGGTGTTGGCTTCATGGTATGCTCACTTTGAAAATTMATCAAGTCATATTTGTGACTTGTATACTCTATGTATGCATGTGCATGCTTGCACACATACACATACAGACTCACATATATATGTAAAAGCTTATACTAAAAAGGAGAAGAGGAGTAGACAGAAGCTAACAAGAGTCCTGAATGTTTACTTCTCTCTGTTGCGGTTCCAGGCACTTAAGATACCATAGAATTACCTCCTATGAAGTTATACAAAGACTTGAAATAGCATTCCAGGTACTTGAGCATCCAATAGGTTACTACTTTCTTTCATATATTACAAAACTGCCTCTGTACTCTCAAGTAGACCTTTTGTGGGAAAAAAATGTTTCTAATAAAAACAAATGAGAAGCAATGACTACAAATAGACTCAAATCCTTTGAAACAACTTCTTCAAAAGATCTTGTCTTGTCTGTTCTTCCATTAGAGCTATGGGTATCTCCATTTAAAAACTGCAATCTGATGCCATTTGGTCTATTATACCAGAGGCTTATTTTCTCTCTATTCATTCCTCCTCGTGCTTAGACACCAAAAGTGGGAAGGAGTGCTGTTCCTCCTAGGACCTCCCTCTTAAACTAACACAGCATTCAGAGAAGGACTCTGAAAGGTGGAAAGAAGAGGCCCAGAGGAACAACATGGTTTAAAGTTCTGAGAGCTTCCTTATTGCCTCCTACATATGCCAGACAGGCCCTGCAGAAGCCTGCAGCCTGGACCTCATCTCAAGCAATTGATAAGGGACTCCAAGAAGAGCCTGTGCCCATAACCAAAGGACCTGGAATGGGGTGCCTAACCACAGAGAACCTTTTGGGAAATACCTCCTCTACTCCAAACAAACATCATCAGAAAAGTCATACCACTGCCACTTGTGGTTTCAGTGGGACCAAGAGGGAAACAGCTCTCCCATCCCCTGTTCAACAGAAACAGAGAGTGATTCCAATTCCTGATTCAGGATAGTGTCTGCACCATCAAGGTCTTGTAGTAAGCCGAGCATCCACCTCCCTGCAGCAGCRGTGAGTCTTAGGGAGGAACAACAATGAGACAGCACTAGGCAGGTTATCTCCATTCCCTTCCTCAGTGTCAGTAGTGCCCAGTGGAGAGCTGAGCTTCCCCCCACCCCCAATCAAAAGAATGGAACCAGACAGGTTGAGTCAAGCATCCCTGTTCTCTCCTGCCCCTACTGATATCTGCCAGGCCCAGTGGGAAGTTGAGTCTCCATCTAACATCTGGTAAAAAGGTGGTAAGAAGTAGGAATGGCAGACACTCTGCTTCCAAGCCCCTCTCTTGTTGTCACTGGACACCTTTGACAAACTGAGCTTCACCCTCCACCACAGCAACAAAGTGGTCTATGTCAGCATCTATTTACTCCTGCCCTAATGTCAGCAAGGCCTGGCAGGAAGCTCATCTACATCCCAAATGGAGGCCAAGAAGCAGTGTCCCATTTTTACTGGAACCCAGCAAGAGGCCATACATACATGTGTCCACCTAGATCCATGCTAAACCTCAACAGGAAGATTGCCTACTGGAAAACGGAGATCAGAGTTTCACAATGTAATATCCCAAATACAATACAAAACCATTACTACAGGGGAAATCACAAGGTGAATGAGAAAAGACAATAGATGCCAACATTAAACAATTAGCTTTTAGAATTATCTGACAAGGTTTTAGAGCAACTGTCACAAAGAAACGCTTCAACAAGCAATTATGAATTCTCTTAGAACATATGAAAAAACAGAAAATTTGAGCAAAGAAATAGATGTTATAACATAAAGAACCAAATGGAAATTATAGAACTAAAAAATGCAATAACTGAAATAAAAATATTGCTGGATAGGCTCAGTAGTGGAGTGAGGTAACAGAAGATGGAATTAGAAAACTTAAGAACATATCAATAAAGCATATTTATTTTGAACAACAAAGAGAAAATATACTGGGAAAAAAATAGCCCCAGGAACCTGCCCAGGACTATAATGAGAGCTAAATTTACTATCATCATTATTCCAAAAGAAGAGGACACAGAGACCAGAAAAGTATTTGGAATAATTATAGGAAGCTTCCCAAATCAGCAAAAGACATAAATCTATATACTCAAGAAGCTGAGTAAACCAAAAGGGTAAGCTATAGAAATTCATGCCAACACAGCATAATTAAACTTGTAAAAATTAAAGACCAAGTGTTAATCTTGAAAGTATCAAAGAGAAATGATTTCTTGTAGGGAGATATCAACTCAGATCATAGTGAATTTCTCATCTAAAACCATTGAAAGTCAGACATATAATAACATTTTTCAAGTACTGAAAGAAAAGATCCATCAATTTTCAATTCTATATTCAAAAATATTGTTCAAGAAAGGAGGGAAGATAGACTTTCTCCAATGAAAGAAAACTTAATAGTTTTTTCTCAACAAGCCTACTCATAAAGTTCTTTAAACAGAAAAGAAATGATAACAAGGCTTGAAACATAAGAAAGGAAAGGAGAACATCACAATGGATAAAAAATAGTGCTAAATATAATAAACTATCCAACTTCTCATGTATTTCTTAAATTGTGTGATGGTGGAGGCAAAGCTCATACCATCTAATATGGTATTCAATATGTGTACAGAATGTATATAAGACAATTATATTTTAAAATGATGGGATTCCACAACTTTAAAATGGTCTACTTAAAATGATTTCCTTCTAAAGCATACAATACATAAGGAGGGAAAAAGCAATTCTTCAATTTACAAATCTGCTTTAAGGCACATAATGAAGATAAACAGTGATTAGTCATATTTAAGTCACCCTTTAAGATATATGATGAAAATAGCACTTTATTTACTGTTAGCTGTTATATAACCTTAAATTTAAGGAAGTTTTGACAAATACTACAATATGAATGAAGCTTAAGGACCTTATGCTAAGTGAAATGAGCCAGTCACGAAAAGACATATAGTGGGGCTAGGGTTGTGGCTCAGTGGTAGAGTCTCACCTAGTATGTGTGGAGCAGTGGGTTCAATCCTCAGCACCACATAAAAATAAAATAAAGATATTATGTCCACCTAAAACTAAAAAATAAATATAAAAAAAGATATAGACTATATGATTCACTTTTATGAGCTAGTTAGAGTTCAAAATCATAGAGAAAGAAAGTAGAATCGCAGTTGCTAGGGGGAGGGGGCAATGGGAAGTTATTGTTTAATGGACATAGATTTTCAGTTTTATAAGATGAAATGATTACTGTAGATGGTAGTTGTAGCACAACATTATGAATATATTTAATACCACTGAACTGGTACACTCTGCTTCTAGCCACTGGTAGCCAATCTTCTACTTTAAGTCTCTATGAATTTGACTATTCTAGAAACTAGTACAAATGTAACTCAACAGAGAAAGGATTGCCTTGTCAACAAATGGTGCAATTAGACATCCATAGGCAAAAGTTAAAAATAAAACAAAACAAAAAAATCCTTGAACTAAAACTCACCCGTCATACAAACATTAACTCAAAATGGATCAGTTAAATATGTGATGTAAAATTATAAAACTTTTAAAAAATTACATAGGAGGGCTGGGAATATAGCTCAGGTGGTAGAGTTCTTGGCTTGCATGCATAAGGCCCTGGGTTAAATCCCCAGCATAACTCTCTCTCACACACACATAAATAACATAGGAGAAAGTCTTTGTGACCCAGGACTGTGAAGAGTTCTTAGACTTGACACCAAAACTATGATATACAAGAAATAAAATTGATAAATTAGACTTTATCAAAATTGAAAACTTATTCTCTGAGAGACCCTAGGAATAGGATGAAAAGACATGCAAAAGACTGGGAGAAAATATGTACAAACTACATATTCCACAAAGGACTAGTATCTAGAATACAAAAACTCTCAAAACAGTAAAAACTCCAAACAATCCAATTTGAAAAGGCGGAAAGAATATGAACATACATTTTACCAAACCAATTTTGAAGTCAGCTTCCTGTTGCCGTCACAAACACCTGAGAAAAATCAACATACAGAAAGAAAAGGTTTCTTTTGGCCCATAGKTTGGAAGTTCTGGTCCATGATTGATTGGCCCCATTGCTTTTAGGCCCATGACATCACATATCAGTAGCAAATGGCAGAGCAAAAATGTTCATCGTTGGTCTGGAATCAAAAAGAAGAGGAAGAAACTGGGTCCCATAATCTCTTCAAGGGATTACTTAAGGACCTCCCACTAGCCCCTACCTCTTAAGTTTCCTTCACCTCCCAATAGCACCACGCTAGAGACTGAGCCTSTAACACGGGGGCATTTGGGTACACCTGGAACCATGATAGAGACATAAAGGTGATATGCACATGAAAAAACGCTCAGCATTATCCATTAGGGAAATGCAAATTACAACTACAGTGACATATTCTTACATACCTCTGAAGAAAGTTGACATATAATGTCAACATCAAATACTGACAAAGATAGAAACTGGATCACCCCTACATCGCTGGCAGGCATGTAAAATAGTTCAGTAACACCATAAAACAGTTTGGCAATTTCTTATAAAACTAAATATTCAGCTGAATATCCAGCATTTATACCTCTGAACATTTATCCCAAAGAAATGAAGTCTTGTGTTCATACAAAAGCCTGTACACACATAGTTACAGMAGATTTACTGATATAGTCAAAACTGGATAAAACCCAGATGTCTTTCAAGAGGTGAAAGACCAAACAAGTCRTGATATACATGCTCACGAGGGAGGTACTTACGGCTCAGCAAGGAAAATGTAACAACTTGGTGAATCTCAGGATTTATGCCGAGTGGGAGGAAAAAAAACAATACAAAAAGGCTTCATGCGGTATATTTCCATTTGGACAACATTTATGAAATTGTGAATTTGTAGAAATGCTGACTAGAATAGTGGTTGCCAGGGGTGAGGTGTGGATAGGGCAGAATAGGGAGAGGAAAGTGAATGTTACTATAAAAAGGCAACAGGAGGGAAGCCTGTGATGATGGAAATGTTCTGTGCTTTGACYGAACCACGGTCAACATTCTGGTTGTGGAATTGCCCTCAAGTTTTGCAACATGGAATGATATTGGCCAAATTATATTATATTGTGTGCACGTATGATATATTGTGTGCATGTATGAATAAGTAACAGCAAGTCCCACCATCATAATAATTATCGTGCACCAATAAAAATACAGAAAAAATAAAAATAAATTTTTAAAATAAAAAAAAAAAGTTTTGCAACATGGTACTTTGGGGAGAAATTGGGCAAAGGGTACACTGGATCTGTCTTTATTATTTTTTCACAGCTAAATGAAAATGTACAATTATCTCAAATGAAGTTAAATAAATAGAAGAGGGCACTTATTCTCCTTCCTCACAACAGAGAGGCGAGGGCAATCAGAAGTAACCATGCCCCAGGTGGTTCCTGGAGTGCATGGAGACCAGCACTGACTGGTCTTTTGGGCTATTCTATCCCAGCATTCAAGTCTGGAGTTGAAAAATTGAATTGGGCAATTGTTTTTTCTGACTTGCTTTTATTATAGGCAGACTTACAAAGAAGTCAACCGTACTTTGCAAAATGTAGAAATGTGACATGGGCTGAGCAGAGAATGTCATTCAATTTTTGGCAAATATAGAAATGAAACTTGACTTCTGAATTGTGGCCAACAAATGATTATTAAACACGCAGCTGCTCCCTGGTCAGCCTTGATGTGTCAGCATCCGTTCTCTCCCTAATAGCGTGCTGACAATTGTGGCTAGAATGGGCCCTCCGGTGTAGGCCACTGAGCATGCCATCTTGGTTTGGAATCATCCCAAATTATCTGGACTTCAACTTCTTTATCTGTGTCAAACAGGAAAAAAAAAATTGTTTTTTGTCATGACTTTAGCTGTCATATGATTTTATGGAGTTTATTTCATCAAGACAGAATGAATTGTTTGTTTTCATGTTTCTAATATGCAAATTACCTCAAATCAAGAAAGAGAGTTAAAATTATATTGCTTTCTCTATTTTTAGTCATGGTTCATCAGAATGTATTAAGATTCAGAACCAAAGATTATATGAAATTGGAGGAAATATAGGTAAGCATTCTTTAATAATTTCTGCTTCTAAATTCTCTATCCTAAAAGAAATATTGTTATTATAAAGGTATATTTTATATGTTATGTCTATTTATTTTGGATAAGAAGTCAAAATCAGTTTTCATTTTTTTAATCATATGTAAAAAAAAAACAAACAGGTGCATGACCTGTCTACAGTATTCTAAAATTTGAGTGAGACTATTTTAGTGTGGATGTGGACCAGACTTAGGTCTAGTCTCTCTTGAGGTTCATGCAAAACAAAGGGCACTGAGAACTGAGAGAAGCATGACACCCTTTTTTTTCAATTTTCCCATTTTAGCTCAGAGCCCAGGATCTTTCACTTACTGATTTCCCTGATAGGACTGGATCCAAAGAAAATCCCTTCTCCTTGTGCCTTTGTCACGTCCTCTGAGCTCCACACACCTGTCTGTGCCCTGACTTGTGGCCTGAGTGCCTCCTCTCTGGCTTCCCTGAGGGGGTCCTGTCTGGTSAGGGCCTTGTTCCAGTCAGCCTCAGTTCTATCTTGCATCTTCCACTTTTCCTTCCCAATGGCATCGTTTCTGTTGGAATAAGAAAATGGTCGGTCATTTCTCTCACCTCTATGGAATTCTCTCTTGACCCCCCTCKGGTCCACTCCCATTTCTCTGTTCCACGTACAGAGAACCCCTTCCATCAGTCAGTCCTCTGCACTCCTATTTCTTCTGCTTTCTCTTGAAACCACTCCTGTCAAGCCTCCCCCCACCTCTCCAGTACTTCTTCAAAATCGCCCTCTTGTCAAGGCCACCAGAGAACTCTTAGGCCGAGAGATCCAGTCGTCCCTTCTGTCTTTTGGACTGCCTGAAGTCTTCTTTCTCTTTTACAAACACTTTCTCTTGATTTTGAGGATAGTTTAAGCTTCTGACTTCCTTAGAATCCTCAGCATTCTCACACAGTACTCTCAGCCCACCCCATGGCTTTAAATACACCTGAGGGCTGATCCATCTGACCAGGTGTCTCCTTGACCCCCTCACTTTGCCTAGCGCTCTGTCCTTGGTGTGGCTTTACCCAGGATGCCCCACTTCAGATATCCTCCTCTCCGTCTGGCTGATGACTCTTCTAGTGAGGTCTTCCTGGCTCTTGCGCCCTCTCCCTGTGCCTGCCTTGCTTTGTTTTCCTCTAATATTCTTATCACCACTGGATTGACTTTATATTTCACATGTTTATCTGCTACGTAAGCACCCAAGGGCAAGTGTTTGTGAACATCCAGGGCATTGCCCCAGCCTTAGAATAGTGCCCGGCACTACACTCCTCTCTTGCTTTTGGGCATGACTTCCACAAAGCAACAAAATGTCCAGTTCCTAAAATAAGCTTGCCTTGAATCTTCTCCGCCCTTCTCAAGTTACTGTCTGTAAAAGCCTTAGAGGATATATATTAGCATATAAATGATCAGCTTATACCTGAAAGGAGTTCTTGCCTTGTTTTTCTAATGGATGTGTTGAAGCTAGAGAAAGTGTGCCTCTGGAGGGTATGTCTGTTTCTCCACAATTTATATGAGATTCGTTTGAATTATTTCAGTCTTAGAAATGGAGGGAGGGAGGGAAGAGGAGGGGAGCATGCTAAGAAACTTCAAAATATATACACTTTGGGCTGAGAACTATTGGCYTGATTTGAACCTTACTCACATATGAATGTGCATGCATGTGCACAGGTAGAAGGTGCCCTCTTGAAAACATTCTTTGAATTTCTCTTTCTCTTTAGGACAGCATTGCTTGGATCCAGATGCATATATTTTGGATGTATATCACGTAAATCCTCACGCAGAATGGGTGATTAAGCCCCAAGAGAGTCTTTGAAGATGGTTGCTATTCTGTGTTCTATGCCAAGAAGATCCTACATTTTGTGGGGGAAAATAAGATTGCCTTGACATGTTTGTTCCCATAACCCTGTTGTGTTTCTCAAGGAGTGGTATCTCCAGCTTTGTCCGCTTAAACTATGGAAGAGGAGCTGGTTCACCACTTAAGCTGACCTTCATCACGTTTCCTTGATAAAAGGAAAGCAGATGTGATGCTTCCAGAAGAAAGGTCAATGGAGAATACAGAACTCTAATCATTTCTAGTATTCAGCTTTGCAGCAGAAATGAACTTGGTCCTGTACCTGGGGATCAGCAACACTTCTTGATGTAGCCAATGCTACCAAGCATAAGAAGTGAAAAAGACCCTTTTTTATATTTGTGTTTATACATATATTGACCTCTTTTAAGCGAGAATGCCAGAAATAGCCTTACTTTCTGCCCTACAAAATAATCTAGATCTACTTTCCAAAGAGAATCAGTTTATAAAGTGACACATTTTATCAATGCTCTGACTTGTCTCTGAATTGGGGGAGGAGGAACTTTGGTCTAAAGAAAACTGTGGTGTTAAATATGTTGTGCCATGCTACGTGATAACCCTTAACTTCCTGGTGCAAATGAACAATTCTCTGTTACTGAATATTGAAAATTGATATTTTTTTGTCTTTTTTATTTCTGGTACTGGGGCTTGAACTCAGGACCTCACATGTTGTTAGGTATTTGCTCTACAACTAAGCTACACCCCCAACCCCTTTTTAAAATTTTATCCTAAGACAGGGTCCTGCTCAGTTGCCCAGGCTGGCCTCTAACTTGCCATCCTCCTGCCTCAGCCTCCTGAATAACTGAGATTATAGGAGTGTGCCACTGCACCTGGCTCCAAAATAAATATTTTGTAGTTTATTGTCTTATGAGCACAGATCCCCATTGTAAAACTCAACTTGACAAAGAGTGTCTTCTGCTCTACAAGAGCATAAAACAAAAGCCTTTGTTTTTGTCAGCAGGCACAGAGTCTTTTCTCATCATGGTTATGGTGCTCAATGAAAGCCTCTCATATGCCAGGTGACAATTTCCTTTTTTGATCAAACAACCTAAAAACACAGACCTRCCTTTATCCAAGAGTGCTGAAAAATACTATTAGAACCAGGTTTTATAAGCTGCAAAAGACTTTGCTTTTATTTATTAATCATAGACATGGCTAAGCACTGTGAGTTAGCATCGGGCCATAGAATTGGATGATCAGATGGTGCGCTGAGAACTCTCCCGTTATCAAGATCTTACAGAGCCATTTTCCAGACTCAAGATTGGCCAGAACACACAGTCCTGTGTTTCTAATTTAGAACAAATCTGAAATGTGCTGAGGGATTGGATAGTGCTGCCTTTCATCTTGAGATTGCAGATAGGGTCCTCCTAGGGATAAGCCTGAAATGGGGACAGAGTTCTCATTTATCCCAGACACATACTCCAACTCGGAATTCAGATTGAGGTTTTGATGGATTTGTATCAGATTAAATAAGATTTAAGGCCCAAGCCACACGCTCATGATTCAAAGCTGAATCACAAATGCAGAAAAACGTTTGTTATTTATTTATCAAGTCTCAAAACATAATGTGGTAACATTCAAAGTGCATATATGGAAGAAATCTTTTATATGCTACATTATGCCTTGACGTCTACATAAAACATTATTTATACTCAGCGTGTAGATAATTGCATTTCTAACCTGTAGAATTTTGTTATGCTTTTATAGGAGAAACAATGATCCATTCTTTTGACTTGTTTGAGAATTTTTATTTTCTTTACCTGAAAACCATTAGAAACTAAACTGTATATGAGGTTTCTATTCATTCCTACATTTCACAAGTTTTCAATGTATGGCTAATGGTATGTGAGTTTACATAATGAATTTCCAGAGTCTGGAAAAATAATTTTATCATTTTTGCAATTCAAAACAAAAGTAAACGTTTCACCTTAGGTAATTGCCAAATCCCAAGACATCAGATAGAAGTAATTTATGCCCACACATGGAAGAAACTTCCAGTAGCTTCCCTACACATCTATATACCTGAAAACTGATCTTTTTCATTGTATTTCCTCTCATTAGAACAGTTAAATTCTGTTGTGTTTATATACAGAATTCACAGATCTATTAATTTAATGTCTTATTTTGAAGTTTTCATGTCTTTTGACTAAAAGCACATTAGGTCTCACACAAAGATTCTAAATGTGTTCAGATTTATCCCAACTCATAACCATCCTTAAATTCAAAAATGCCTGTCATCTTAAGTATTGAAAAATCTTTTGTCTTAGCAAAAGTTGTTTTTAGAAAAGTTCAGTAAACAGTGTGTAAAAATGAATAGTCAAAACCAAAGGAAAGTCAGATGACTGGCTTGTAAATACCGTTCTGACCCTCACCCCATCCCAAATGTTCTTGGTACACAGTAAGGAAAATAATATCGTCCGGGAAAGTAATTACAAGAAGTTAATGTTTAGGAGCACTCATTCTTAGATCTGGCTCATTGTTTCCTTCATTCTGTAAAAGCTCACTTGGGAACATGATCTTTGAACAAACTGGAATGTCAGTTCTTTACGATGTATATACAGTATAAACTACCTCACTTGCTTTTCTTGGGGAAAAAACTAATAGACTTTAACAATTTTTGTTACAAACTGTCTTAGTCATATTATTTAAGTCATTTCAGTTAGCTTTCAATGTGCATTTATTAATATGCATTTAATGATGTAAAATATTTTTAGCAAAGTTTAAAACCAAACTACTCTGTAACTGTGACCTGTGGTATACTCTGAGATCATCCATGGTCCCTTACTGATTATCTTGTGTTTCTAATCACGTGGAAATGMAGGTTTTCAGAAGCAGGAATGTCCATCTTTTCTTTCAGACATTTGCAACTGTTGTCCGAATAGTTCATTTGGCTGAAAAGTAACATGAAAAGAAAATGTCTCTTCATTTTTTCACATAGATATTACTTGCCTAAATAGTCAATATATTATGAGATTAAAGAGTTCCCTACAGACATTTTTTTTCAACTGTTTTCCATAAATATGTCACACTAAAAAATAAAATAACATGGGTTTAAAGCATTCCTTTCAAGGATTTCAACAGTTTTATATACACATACCTACTTTAAAAAAATAACATCTTTTCCTTCAGGGACTTTCCAACTATTTTCTCAAATTGTATAAATTGAGAAATCTTATGTTGCTGGAAAATGCCAATGTATGTTTCTTCCCATCTCAAAAGTTCATATTGACTCTTGTCTCTTCAGTTTTCATTGTCATGTAGCATGAGTATGTTGCATTTTAACCCCTAAAAATAAAGGAAAAAAACCAAAAATATTCTCACAAAAATTCTTTGTTTGACTAGTCTGAGGACACAGTGGGGCCACTGAAAGAACAGGAGTTTCAAAGTCAGGAGTTTTGTGTCTGAGCCCCTCTCTCTCAGGAACAAGATGATCTTGTGCAAAAGCTGCCTGGCATCATGGGAATGGTGGTGGGTTAAAGGTAAAGGGTAGGTTCACTTGAATAAGCAACCGTTTCCTAATTTGTTCGTTAGTGCTTTGTCTATGCAGGTTTTTAACGAATGATTTAAATATAATGATTTGTGAACACATTATTTATACACATACATGCATACACAATCTTTTCCATAAATACAGAAAAGGTTTTTGACAAAATTTAAAACCAACTTGTGAATTTTAATTCAGCAGTTTATTATTATATATCCTGCCCACGAAGCAAAACATAGAAATATAAGGCATAAAGATTAGAAAACTATAAAATGTTCTATATTTTTAAATGGTATGATTGATTGTATTATTTGTATAGAAAACCCTCAGGCATCTTCAACTATTCATATTAATGAGATAATCTATCAAGGTCATGGCAATTATGATCACTGTATAAACATCAATTTGCTTTTATGTTAGCAAAAAACAATTGGGAAATACGTTTTTAAACTTCCATTTACTACAGTATCAAAACTTGTAAAATATCTACAACTGTATTTAACAAAGTATTTGCAAAACATATATGCTAAACAGTGYGAATGTTTCTCTAGGAGTATAAAATATATAAATTATATATATATATATATACTCCTAGAGTATATAAACAAATATATAAATTATAACATGTTTCTGGATGAAAAAAGAATTGGCAGGTTATTAATTCCCCACAAGCAGATCTGTTGATTCAATACAATCCCAATCATCAAGTAGGTTTTTATTGGTAGAAATTGACAAACTAATTATGAAATATATATAAAGATACAAAGGATTTAGAATATCTAATCTTACCAAAAAGGAGCCACATTCTTAGAATGAATTATTTTAAGGTTTACTACAAAATTATACCTATTAAAACACTGTGATTCATAATAAATAGCCATGAGATCATCAGTGAAGCAGAATCACACAGATACAGGCGTCCATTTGATTTTCAACACAGCAACCCAGTAGGGAAAACAAACTTCAACAGATAGTCCTAGAACAACTGGATAGCCATACAGAAAGAGGCAGGCAGGCAGGAACGCAGAAAGGACAGGAGTGGACCCCTTCCCATAACAYAAAAATTCATCCAGAATGAGTCATAGAATCCAAATCCATGAGACTTTAATTTTAAAGAAAAAATTTTACAGTAGCTTTGAAGCTAGAAGTAGGTAAAGATTTCTTAGGAACAAAATGCAACACATGTACAAGATTAATAAAAGAGACTGCAACAAAATTTAAAACCACTGCTATCCAAAAAAAGAGCATGAAGAAATCAATAAGCAAACCACAGCTTGGGAAAAGTATATTTGTAAAGCATGTTTAACCAAGGGCTGGGATCTAGGACATGTAAAGAACTCATTAATAAAAAGGCAACCAGCCCAATTTTCAAAAATGAGTGTAACGCTTAGGAACAGGCCCTTCTTAAAAGAGATACAACAACCATGTGAAAAAGTATGCAATATATTGAGTCACTAGGAAAATGCATGCTGAAACGTGATGCCCCTGTGTACGCTCACCAAGAGTTCAAATTAAAAAGCCCAATGATGACAAGCATGGAAGAAGCTGAGCTCTTAGACATTGTCAATAGCAGYGTAGCATGAGACAGGCCAATACTGAATGATCACATGGTACCCTATAAGTATGTGCCATCACTATATGTCAATTAAGAAAAATCATTAACATTAAAAAAGAATAAATGGATAGAGACAAGAACATGAAATTCAGATTTCAGAAATCGAAAGCAGAGTGAAAGAAGCCAGGCCAAAAAGACYACCTCTGTACAGTATCGTTCCATTTATATGAAATGCTGGGACAAGCAGAACTGAACCATGGAGGYGGGTCATGAAAATTTCTCTGCATACAGTGGGAATGGGGAATGACCCAAATGGGGCAAGAGGGCCCTCCCTAGAGAATGGCAACATTCTACATCTGCCCCAAGTCCKCCTGAGCATTTGAAACGTGACCAGCCTTAAAGCAGGTGAGTTCTAAGTGTAAATACACAGCAGGTTTTGAAGATTTCATGGGGAAGAAAAAATGTAAAATATCTCATTAAAACATTTTTACTATTGGCTACATGTTGAATGCTAATATTTTTTTTTTGCTTAGCTAATATATTAGTTAAATAAAATTTATCAGTTTCCTTTTACTTGGCTACTAGAAGATTTAACATTATATTTGTGGCTCACA